AGGACTCAAGTTTCCCGGGCCCGCCGGTTTCCCTGAAATCCCTTCATAAATGTTACTTTGCTCACACTCCAACAGCACGTCAAGTATTAAAAACCCATTTGTCTCCATTCAATCCTATCAAACACGCTCACGCATGGGCCCGCTGGAAGTCCAAGCCCTCGCACACAAAACCTCTTTACCCCCTCCCTCCAACCCTTCCTAGGCCGACCCCTACCCCGCCTTCCTTCCACTACAGATGATACACTCTTGAAGTCATTCTGTTTCGCTCCATTCTCTCTACATGTCCGAACACCTCAACAACCCTTCCTCAGCCCTCTGGACAACAGTTTTGGTTTAATCCCGCACCTCCTTCCTAACTTCCAAAAATACGAATTCTCCCGCATTATATTCACACCACAAATTGCCCTCAGAAAATGACATCTCCACTGCCTCCAGCCTTCTCCTCGCTGCAACATTCATCCCCACGCTTTTAAAACCCATATAAGAGCGTTGTAAAACTATACTCTCATCATTCCCCTCTTTGCCTCCAAGGACAAAGTTTCTTTGTCTCCACAGACTCCTAAGTGCACCACTCACTCTTTTTCCCTCAATCAATTCTATGATTCACCTCATCTTTCATAGACCCATCTGCTGACACGTCCACTCCCCAAATATCTGAATACGTTCACCTCCTCCATACCCCTCTCCCTCCCCCAAACTGATATTCAATCTTTCATCACCTAATCTTTTTGTTATCCTCATAACCTTACTCTTTCCTGTATTCACCTTTAATTTTCTTCTTTTGCACACCCTACCAAATTATCCACCAATCTCTGCAACTTCTCTTCAGAATCTCCCAAGAGCACAGTGTCATCAGCAAAGAGCAGCTGTGACAACTCCCACTTTGTGTGTGATTCTTTATCTTTTAACTCCAACGCCTCTTGCCAAGACCCTCGCATTTACTTCTCTTTCAACCCCATCTATAAATATATTAAACAACCACGGTGACATCACACATCCCTGTCTAAGGCCTACTTTTTTCTGGGAAAAAAATTTCCCTCTTTCCTACATACTCTAACTTGAGCCTCACTATCCTCGAAAAAACTCTTCACTGCTTTCAGTAACCTACCTCCTACACCATACACTTGCAACATCTGCCACATTGCCCCCCCTATCCACCCGTAAAACGCCTTTTCCAAATCCATAAATGGGCCACAAAGACCTCTTTAGCCTTATCTAAATACTGTTCACTTATATGTTTCACTGTAAACAACCTGGTCCACACACCCCCTACCTTTCCTAAAGCCTCCTTGTTCATCTGCTATCCTATTCTCCGTCTTACTCTTAATTCTTTCAATTATAACTCTACCATACACTTTACCAGGTTACACTCAACAGACTTATCCCCCTATAATTTTGCACTCTCTTTTATTTCCCCCTTTTCCTTTATACAAAGGAACTATGCATGCTCTCTGCCAACCCTAGGGACCTTACCTTCTTTTCCATACATTTATTAAATAATTGCACCAACCACTCCAAACTATATCCCCACCGCTTTTAACATTTCTATCTTATCCCCTCAATCCCGGCTGCCTTACCCCCCCTTTTATTTTTACCTACTGCCCCACGAACTTCCCCCACACTCACAACTGGCCCCTTCCCCACTCCTACAAGATGTTATTCCTCCTTGCCCTATACACGAAATCACAGCTTCCCTATCTTCTCAACATTTAACAAATTTCCCCAAAATATTCCTTCCCCTCTCCCAATACCTCAACTCTCCATTTTAATAACTCTCCCCTTTCCCATTTTTAAACTGACAAATCCATTTGTTCCTTAAGGCTTTCTTAACTTGTTAAACTCACTCCCCAAAACCTTTTTTTATTTTCAACAAAAATTTGTTGAATTAACATCTCACCCACTCTCTCATTTGCTCTCTTTTTACATTGCTTCACCACTCTCTTAACTTCTCTCTTTTTTTCCATATACTCTTCCCTCCTTGCAATCACTTCTACTTTGTAAAAACTTCTCATATGCTAACTTTTTCTCCTTACTACTCTCTTTACATCATCATTCCACCAATCGCTCCTCTTCCCTCCTGCACCCCATTTCTGTAACCACAAACTTCTGCTGAAAAACTCTAACACTACATTTTTAAAAACCTAACCCCATACCCCTTCGACCCATTGCCTATGCTCTCATTAGCCCATCTATCCTCCCAAAAGCTGTTTATATCTTACCCTAACTGCCTCCTCTTTTTTGTTTATAAAACCTTCACCTCTCTCTTCCCTGATGCTTCTATTCTCCTTGTATCCATCTACCTTTTACTCTCAGTGTAGCTACAACTAGAAAATGATCTGATATATCTGTGGCCCCCCTATAAACATTACATCCTGAAGTCTTTCTCAACAGTCTTTTATCTACCAATACATAATCCAACAAACTACTGTCATTTCGCCCTACATCATATCGTGGTATACTTATTTATCCTCTTTTTCTTAAAATATGTATTACCTATAAAAATAAAAACCCCTTTTTATACAAAGTTCAAACAAAGGGCTCCCATTATCATTTACACCTGGGACCCCAAAAACTTACCTACCACAACCTCTCTAAAAAGTTTCTCCTTTCTTTAGCATTCAAGTCCCTACCACAATTACTCTCTCACTTTGGGTTTAAAGGCTCCTATACATTCACTTAACATCTCCCAAAATCCCCTCTCCTCCTCTGCATTCCTCCCCTTCTCCAGGTTTCAATACACGCTTATTATGGGCCCACTTCTCGCATCCAACCTTTACTTTAATCCACATAATTCTTGAATTTACACATTCATATTCTCTTTTCTCCTTCCATAACTGATCATTTAACATTACTGCTACCCCTTTTCCTTGCTCTAACTCTCTCAGATACTCCAGATTTAATCCCATTTATTTCCCCCCACTGAAACTCTCCTACCCCCTTCAGCTTTGTTTCGCTTAGGGCCAGGACATCCAACTTCTTTTCATTCATAACATCAGCAATCATCTGTTTCTTGTCATCCGCACTACATCCACGCACATTTAAGCAACCCAGTTTTATAAAGTTTTTCTTCTTCTCTTTTTTAGTAATTGTATACAGGAGAAGGGGTTACTAGCCCATTGCTCCCGGCATTTTAGTCGCCTCATACGACACGCATGGCTTACGGAGGAAAGATTCTTTTCCACTTCCCCATGGACTAATAACTAATAATACGTCTATAACAGTAGCTTTATTACAGTTTATCAATAATAATAATGTCTATGTCAGTAGCTTTAATATTTACAATTTATCAATAATAATGTCTAAAGCAGTTCTGTGAATATAACTTTTTTAGTTTAAATCGGTGTTTGACTTTCTGTATTTAGGTGTCTCGTAGTTGGGTTGGTAATGCACTCAGTTCGCACAGTGAGGTCCATGGTTCAATCCCCGGTACGGTTGGAAACGTTAGTATGTGTTTCCTTACGACACCTGTTTTCCATGTTCACTCATCAGTAAAATAGGTACCTGGGTGTTAGTCGACTGGTGTGGGTTGCATCCTGGGACAAAATTGACCTAATTTGCCGGAAATGCTCTGCATTACTAGCGGCTTTCTGTATAGTAGTATGTCATTGATGTCTGTATACCTTGTACATGTACTTGTAGAAATATTACTGTTATTAAATTACAAGGACCACAGTGGAAATGGTCTTTGCCTGTACCTAAATAAACTTACTTGACACAAACTCCGTAAATAATATATTCGTTGAATTTTACTGGATTTACTTTTGTGCTTTTGATGCAATGGTTTAACTGGGAGTTCTCGCCAATGCTTCCAAGGTCTTGGTCGATCAGGGCAAGTTTCCAATATTTTCTTAGTGGCTTAGAGCATCCCAGTATACAGTGGACCCCCGCCTTAGGATATTATTTCATTCCAGAAGTCTGTTCAGGTGCCGTTATGGACCGATTTTGTTCCCATAAGGAATATTGTGAATTAATTAGTTCGTTTCAGACCCCATAAAATACACGTACAAAAGCACTTACAAAAATACACTTACATAATTGGTCGAGTTGGGAGCTGATCGTAAGGCGGGGGTCCACTGTATTACCTTCATTAGTCTACCCTAGCTTACTGATGTTGGTGACTTGAAAAGTCAGTGCCTCTGCCATATACCTGTGAAACAAGTTATTGTGACTTGTTTCACAGGTGACAGGATGTAACCCACACCAGTCAACTAACACCCAGGTACCTACTTAATGCTAAGTGAACAGGGACAGCAGGTGTAAGGGAACATGTCTAATGTTTCTCCTCAGCCAAGGATTGAACCACGGACACTCAGTGTGTGAGGTGAGAACGTTGTCTGTGTAGAAAAGATTTATTGATCGGTATGTGCATTTTATGTAAACCAAATTGAGTACTCTGAAACTGCATAGCCTGGCCCCTTTTATACAGAATTGTAAAAAAAAATACTGGAAGCTTTTAGATAATACAGTACGTAATTTTATTTAAAGGTATGAATTTTGAAAATGTGTACCACTCTGTTACCAATAAACTAGATTAGTACAGATTGTAATAAAGTTGGTAGAATTACCGACAATATGTAAAGTAAAAGGACACAAGTGCAACTAATGTGACATTTTATTGTGGCAACGTTTCGCTCTCCAGGAGCTTTATCAAGCCAAGTAATGGCTTGATAAAGCTCCTGGAGAGTGAAACGTTGCCACAATAAAATGTCACATTAGTTGCACTTGTGTCCTTTTACTTTATAGATTAGTACAGTATTTTATAAGATTTAATTTGATTTAAACTTTAGAATATTGTTTGTGCATCAAGCTCATTTTTTCATTAATACAGTATGTACTGTAGTTTCTAATTAAACTAAATTGTAATTAAACATCATATTGGAGTTTATATTGGTTTCTCTTTCAAAAATTCTGTTCATATTTTGCATGGCTGCTGCCAAACATACTCTGGACTATGCTCATACGTTCAACTAGTAATGTTAAGAATTTTTTTTTTATTTCAGCGCAAAGTTCGTGGTTATAATATTGCCCGGCTCTACTTCAATATCGGTGAATATGAAAATGCTCGTCGCTACCTCAGTGAATTTCTTGGCGTTCGTCCCAAGGCAATGGACGCACACCGTCTCCTGGGCCAAATATACGAGGGTCTGGGAAACAAGGAAAAAGCCGTGCAGTCATACAAGACTTCATATGAATTAGGAGAAGGCCAGAAAGATCTTGTTTTAAAAAGTAGGTTACTGTAGTAGTACTGTTTTATAGAAGCAGCTGGTATCAGGTTTTCATAAAACTACTTGATACTAAATTGGTTTGTGTGTGTTATTTACTTTAGGTAATGCACGATGCAAAACTGCCAAATAAACATAATACGCTCTTAATTTATGCCATACAATCTGAGCAAACAGCTTTAAGGAATAGTTGATATTGACCTGAAAGACAGTACTGTCTTACCATAGCAAGGGATCTTAATGCCTTCGTGAGTGTATTGCATGTATAAACTGCAGGTTTGAACTAGTTTTTTTGTATTGTATATGTGTGTATGTGTATTTGTTATTTAAGGTGTATCTAGATCTGCTTGTATATTTCACTTGATTTATGAGATGAATTGACATTTTTCTTATATTTATTTTTCAAGGGCATTCCTTGTATGTACCTATATTTTTTCACTATGGTAAACAAAATTTTCACAGACTTCTACACTACCTGTTTTTTCCCCTTAACTCTGATCTGCCGTTTCTTTCATAGATCCATCTTGTAACAGATCCACCTCAAATATATTTATGTACAGTACAATACATTTACATACATCAGATTCCTCTCCAGTCTGACATAGACTTCCATTACCTTTATTATGAATTATTAATCTATTTTTATTTTCCATACACAATTTAAGTTTTTCTTGTTCATATCTAATGCTAAGTTATGCTGAAGTACAGTGGAACCTCAAATATCGAACTTTCTTCAGTCCAGAAGGCTGTTCGAGTGCCTTTACCAAATGAATTTATTCCCATCAGGAATAATGTAAATTAGATTAGTCCATTTCAGACCCTCAAAAATACACTTATAAAAGCACTTACAAAAATGTACTTACGTAGTTGGTTGTGTTGGGAGCAGTTCGATTTTTGGGGTTCCACTGTATATCACTTTTCTTGCTAAAGCTAGGCCACTTTTATATGGCAATATTTATTGATTATGCATGGGCAACAGTTTACACTAGCAGTTTGTGTACAAAGAACTCTGTTTAAACACCAATATTTTTCCATTTGACAAAATTTCCATGCTGTATAACTAATGCATTTATCCTTTCATGCTTAAAATATAAGTGTACTGGTGTACGTATTATGTGAGAATGACTATACATGGTATCCTCTTTCAGTTTGTGAGTTGTATACAGATGTACAGGCAGACTCTTCAGTTCGTTTATATTGGGCAGAAGAAGGCCATCGTTTGTATCCTCACCATGAAAGCGTCGTTAAGCTCCGTGAGGCCCTGCTCACTGGCTCAGGCTCACACTCACGTCAAGAGCTTGAGAAATTGTATCTAGGTTGGTTTTTGGTGCTTGTTATTGAATTTATAATTAAAAACTAGGACACTTGGTTTATGAATTGTATTACCCTTAAAGACCATACACACTTCAAATTGAGTTTGAGTCCATTCATACATTAATAAAGGATGTCATCCAGTTTTTGTAACTAGTATGTACATTGTGGAAATGTGTTATGTATGTTACAGATGAAATCAAAGCCTGCCCAACAGCTGTTAGATTACAAACCAACCTACTACAACTTTATAAAGACTGGGGTGCAGAAGACAAGAACAAGCTGAATGAGGCTTATAATTACAGTTGTCAAGTGGAAGCTCGAAAAGCATTTTCGGACTCCCTAGAATGGTATCAAACACTATTTGATATTATGCAGGTAAAGAGAGTTAAGTAGTTTTGCCAGTAGTTAAATGGACACATTGAACTTAGAGACATGCATGCCTAAAAAGAACATATACAAAGTAAGAAATTGTTTAGTGAAAAAATTGATTGAGCATGACTGCTAAATAGTGATAGATGTCAAATAACAGATTTATTGTGCATGTGATAGTTATTTTGTCTTGATACTTCATCTAAAGCTGAAACTATTTAAATAGATTTTTGCCTAACTATGTGGGTTGTATTATAGAAAGTTTTGACTCTATCTTAACTGCTCTAAAAGAGCAATCTCTGAAGTTTTTCCCTATGGACAGGCTTACCAAAATACAACAGATGTTAGCAGTGATGTCGAATTTCACACCAACTTCTTGTCTGCACTGGAGCGGCTTGTCTACCTCACTTTAGCATCCAGCAGTGGCACTGCCCTCCTATCCCAGTGCACAATAACAGATGCTGCTACACTTCTTCACAGGCGAGTTTTATATATTGAAGTTGGGGGGGGGGGGAATAGAACTCTAGTTCTTGGGTCTGCCTCAGACCTTGCATATGACTAACTTTCATTTTAATTTCCTTATATTTACATTTAGACAATTGTAATTGCCCATTTGAGTTTGTTGGGGGGGTCAGTTCCAACTGTTAGCCATCTCTTAATTTTAGATGTGTGATTGATTCCTGTCATAGATCTGTGAACCCCTGTATGTAGTTTTTTTTTTTTTTCTCACTTCCATATGCTTCCTTATAATTTTAGAATCATCCACAAACTTAGATATGTATGCAAGTAAACGAATTTCTGCTTCTTTCAATAAACCGGCTGTTTCCCACCGAGGCAGGGTGGCCCAAAAAAGAAAAAAGCTTCTCTTTTTAACTTAAGTAATGTATAAAGGAGAAGGGGTTACTAGCCACTTGCTCCCGGCATTTTAGTTGCCTCTTACGACATGCATGGCTTACGGAGGAAGAATTATGTTTCACTTCCCCATGGAGGTAAGAGGAAATCAACTAGAACTAGTAAAAAAATTGAGAACCCAGAGGTGTGTGTGTATATGCTTGTACAAAATGCATTTGCCATTTGAAAATTGTATTCTAATGTAATTAGGAGTTGATAGGATGTGGCAGTCACAGAGCACTTAAAACCCAGTATTTTAGTTTTCATAATTCAATCAAATTAGCATATTGGCACCTATAAAGTCTAATAAAAATCCAAATCCTTCATCTTAAAATATCTTGAGGCAGAAGGAAAACTTTCTGAAACTTACAGGTACCACTGAGGATACCTAATAAGCCATTTGTGATTACCTTTTGGCGTGAGCTCTTGATTCTACTTCATCTGACTGGCAGACAAAATAAACGTGTCATACCTTTGCTCGAGTTGTATGGAGTTCACTGACATTTAAGGAGTTGTAGGTTATTTGGCATGTAATTCCCAACAGTGTTCCTGTCTTTGTCACTTATGTTGGTCTGTGTTTGTTTACACTGTCAATCTCTGTTGAGTATTTTGTATGTCGTGATTGTATCTTCTGTTATGACAGAGTATTTGTTCATCATAACATACTACTCCCAGTTCAGTCAGCAGTCAACAGTCCTCTGGACTTTCAGGTGTATGTTTGGTATGGCATTGTTGGCACTTTTGGACTTAATAGAAGTGAAAAAGGAAAAAGTTAATTTCTGGGCATAAGTGATTGATTCTGTCCAGATGAAAAATGTATTCAAAAGTTAATTTTTTTGAGGTTGAGTTATTGAGTATTATATAACTTTAATATATTACAGATTTGACCAGAGTTTGTACACAAGCCTCGGTGTAGTTGGTCAGAACACACAGTTTGGTCAGCTGATGGTGGGACAGCTGTACCTCCACATGGCCATCTTCCTCATACATAGTGCCAAGAAGGTAAGACATAATTTTTACCATAACTGAAATATTACGGCAAAGACTTCAGTGTTTGTTGCCTACTTTCAACAAAATAAACTGGGAAAAGGCGTATACATGCTTTTTCTCGTAGTTTTAACCTTTATCTTGGTTTAAGATAACAACAGAAAGGTAGTCAATAAGTGTTTGTTCATGGTAATTGTTCTTTGATGAAGGTTAGGGCCTCCCATTCCCAGTAGTCTGCTTCATGGGGTATTTACTAGGTCTGCTTCAATTATTGGGGCAGGCTAAACCATGACCAGTCATTCTTGGTTATGCTGTACTGTATTTTATTATTTTTTTAATGATGCATTCAAAATGAGCAAGTGTTATATAGAGGCCTGAGGTTGTGAATAGTGAACAAACAAAAGGTTGTTTTAGTGCCTGAATGCTGTGTTAATCTTGGACTCAGTTTTCAAATTGGAATTTAATGAATTTTGTGTAAAATTGGCCAAATTACCAAGTTCTCTGCTCCTTGAAAATTGAATGAGCAGTTTCTTGAGCCAGATAGGTAAAACTAATGGTATACTAGTGAAATTTCTAGTAATTGGGTTGAATTTAGCCATGGCCTAAAATGGGGGGACTGTGGGTAAAATTGCTGATGTATAATTTGTGCCTGACAATGTAAACTTTATATGAGATTTCACATTTGTGGTGTCAGTGTCTTCAGAAAAAGATTCCCTACCATTTCAGATTATTTTTTATAATCGAGACACACTTTTAACAAGTCGGCCGTCTCCCACTGAGGCAGGGTGACCCAAAAAACAAAGAAAATCCCCAAAAAGAAAATACTTTCATCATCATTCAACACTTTCACCTCACACATAATCACTTTTGCAGAGGTGCTCAGAACACAACAGTTTAGGAGCATATACGATAAAGATACACAACATATCCCTCCAAACTGCTAATATCCCGAACCCCTCTTTTAGAGTGCAGGCATTGTACTTCCCATTTCCAGGACTCCAGTCCGGCTATATAAAAATAATCGGTTTCCCTGAATCCCTTCACTAAATATTACCCTGCTCACACTCCAACAGATAGTCAGGTCCCAAATACCATTCGTCCCCATTCACTCTTGTCGAACACGCTCATACACGCCTGCTGGAAGTCCAAGCCCTTCGCCCACAAAACCTCCCTTATGCCTTCCTTCCAACCTTTTCGAGGATGACCCCTACCCCGCCTTCCTTCCCCTACAGATACGCTCTCCATGTCATTCTACTTTGATCCATTCTCTCTAAATGATCAAACCACCTCAACAACCCCTCTTCAGCTCTCTGGCTAATACTTTTATTAACTACACACCTTCTCGTTTCCACACTCCAAATTTTCTGCATAATATTTACACCACACATTGCCCTTAGACAGGACATCTCCACTGCCTCCAACCGCCTCCTCGCTGCTGCATTCACAACCCAAGCTGTTGGCACTTAATTTCGGGGGTCATGATGGTTAAAAGGTTAATTCAGTAGCTGTCTTGACAGAAGTGTGCTAATATCATTATCTAGATAGCCCTTCAAACTGCAGCAACTGACCCCTCCTTTGGGATGCAAGCATTGCCCATCTTGCCTCCTGGACTTGATTTACTATACTTAGATTTGTTCCCTTCAGTAAATGGACAATCAGTTTTATGAACTCAGGCTTGTATATATATTACACTGCATATTTAAATTTTTGTTTTTCAGGATGGTTTAACACACACGAGCACCAGTGCTGGAGCTCTTCTATTCCATGCTTGTCGTTTCCGAACCTCTGAGAGCAGTCTTTCGTCTAAATCTTGGACATCACGTGACCAGTTCTGGCATAAACTTGCCTGCCACAGGCTCTCCCAGGCTGCACATGTCCTCCATCACATGGCCAAAACAGAGACTGAGAAAGTAACATTCATCAACAAAGTCAAACAGCAGTGTAGCAACAAAGAAACTCAGGAGAACATTCATCAGACAATATTTGGAACTTCCTGTACCAGCAAGAAGGACAAGAGCTTCTTCTTGAAGGATGATGACTTTATCAATGCTTCTTTATGCTATCCTGAATTAGAGCAAATAAAGGAGTGGGACAGTGGTGAGTAAATGGTGTAGTCACTGCTCTATCTCTGGAAGTTGATGAAAACTTTTAGTTAGGTAAAAGGACACAAGTGCAACTAATGTGATATTTTATTGTGGCAACATTTCGCTCTCCAAGAGCTTTGTCAAGCCATTTGGTTTGACAAAGCTCCTGGAGAGCAAAACATTTCCACAATAAAATGTCACATTAGTTGTATAGGAAATAAAAGAGAACTAGGTCTGATTAGACAGGAGTAAAGAGGAAGTGAATGACTTAAAGGAGTCTATGAAGAAGGTAAATCACAGCTAATGAGGGTAAGAAAGCTAAAGGACATTAAGGCATCTGGGGGAAAATTGTATATAGGCCAAGAAAGAGGATGTAAATAGTTGTAAGTAAGAGCTTGAACATTTATCAGTCTTGTGAGTGTGAGGCTTGAATATACTTTGTGCCATGGTGTTCTGTTTTAAATGATGATATTTATGAAGCAGATTGAGAAACCATCTAGTTAGAATGGGGATGTTATGTTTTCAGAAGTCATCACTGAGCCATGTCTATATCCATCAGAAAAAACAACTAGGGAGTGAATGATGATGGTTCTCCTCAGGGTCTCATTGTTTTAGTGAGAAATAAATATTAAGAAATTCTATATGTACAGACATTTTTATTTTTATATGGATGTGGACTGTCTTATCCTTCCCTCATCTTTCAGTGGTGGGAAGCATGTATTGTGCCAGCCTTGGGGACATGGTTTGGCTGTGTTTGCAACAAGCTTCCACCAGTACTAAGGAGCCACAACCCTACTACACTTTCACGTTGTTTGAGGGTCTTCAGTTCTCAACCAGCAATGTAAATACAGGGGCTCCAGAGACCTTGTGCCATCTTGATCTCTTAGCTTTCCTGGCTGCAACAGTATACTGCCAAATTGCAGCTTCAAAAGAGGCTCATGGTATGTAAGATTTTTTTAAGCAACTTTTGTTTTTTTGTGAATTGTGAGGCTTTTAAAACATAAAAAAAAAAGATAAAAAATTTTAAATGAGGGAGTTAAACTAGGTAATTGATTTACTTTGTCTTCTCAATTTCTGGGTCTCCATTGGGGGTTTCTAGTTTTCAGTATCACCATAATTTGTTGCCTGTGATCAAGATTCTTGTTCTGATAATAACTTCTGTTTGTGTTCCCTTTTTATTAATTTCATATTTCCATTGTTTGGCCGATTGTATATACCTGCCAGTTACCCTGTGACTTTTGTAATCATTCTGGCTTCATTGTCTGCGAATTCACTGTATTTGAGAATTGGTGTTTCTTAAAGCCTATGGTTTCTTGATTGCTGTCTTTTCCTCCCACCGTAATTGTCTTTAATCTTCCTCACATAATTTCTAAAGATATACAGTGGACCCCCAGTTTACGATATTATTTCATTCCAGAAGTATGTTCAGGTGCCAGTACTGAACGAATTTGTTCCCATAAGGAATATTGTGAATTAGATTAGTCCATTTCAAACCCCCAAACATACACGTACAAACGCACTTACATAAATACACTTACATAATTGGTCGCATTGGGAGCTGATCGTAAACCGGGGATCCACTGTACAGTGGACCCCCGGTTAACGATATTTTTTTCACTCCAGAAGTATGTTCAGGTGCCAGTACTGACCGAATTTGTTCCCATAAGAAATATTGTGAAGTAGATTAGTCCATTTCAGACCCCCAAACATACACGTACAAACGCACTTACATAAATACACTTACATAATTGGTCGCATTCGGAGGTAATCGTTATGCGGGGGTCCACTATTTCTCTTTCATTGAATATTATTATTTTTTTTTTTTTTTTTTTATTATCACACCGGCCGATTCCCACCAAGGCAGGGTGGCCCGAAAAAGAAAAACTTTCACCATCATTCACTCCATCACTGTCTTGCCAGAAGGGTGCTTTACACTACAGTTTTTAAACTGCAACATTAACACCCCTCCTTCAGAGTGCAGGCACTGTACTTCCCCATCTCCAGGACTCAAGTCCGGCCTGCCGGTTTTCCCTGAATCCTCTTCATAAATGTTACTTTGCTCACACTCTAACAGCACGTCAAGTATTAAAAACCATTTGTCTCCATTCACTCCTATCAAACACGCTCACGCATGCCTGCTGGAAGTCCAAGCCCCTCGCACACAAAACCTCCTTTACCCCCCTCCCTCCAACCCTTCCTAGGCCGACCCCTACCCCGCCTTCCTTCCACTACAGACTGATACACTCTTGAAGTCATTCTGTTTTGCTCCATTCTCTCTACATGTCCGAACCACCTCAACAACCCTTCCTCAGCCCTCTGGACAACAGTTTTGGTAATCCCGCACCTCCTCCTAACTTCCAAACTAACGAATTCTCTGCATTATATTCACACCACACATTGCCCTCAGACATGACATCTCCACTGCCTCCAGCCTTCTCCTCGCATGCAACATTCATCACCCACGCTTCACACCCATATAAGAGCGTTGGTAAAACTATACTCTCATACATTCCCCTCTTTGCCTCCAAGACAAAGTTCTTTGTCTCCACAGACTCCTAAGTGCACCACTCACTCTTTTTCCCTCATCAATTCTATGATTCACCTCATCTTTCATAGACCCATCCGCTGACACGTCCCACTCCCAAATATCTGAATACGTTCACCTCCTCCATACTCTCTCCCTCCAATCTGATATTCAATCTTTCATCACCTAATCTTTTTGTTATCCTCATAACCTTACTCTTTCCTGTATTCACCTTTAATTTTCTCTTTTGCACACCCTACCAAATTCATCCACCAATCTCTGCAACTTCTCTTCAGAATCTCCCAAGAGCACAGTGTCATCAGCAAAGAGCAGCTGTGACAACTCCCACTTTGTGTGTGATTCTTTATCTTTTAACTCCACGCCTTTGAATATTAACCATTTATGCTCTTTAGACTACCCCAAAGCATTATGAATATTTTCTGGAATGGAAAGATAACATAAATCTTTTCTCTTAAAATTATACAATGAAAATTTTCAAGGTTCCTAATCTACACTAAAATACTAACTTTAGGGCAGGAGATAGGGAGATGGCAGTACATGTGCCATAATCACAATAGGAGAGAAATTGTCAGAGGTCTTTTGACACTTGAACCATCTAACAAATAGAAAAGATAGTGCCAGAACAGAGGTAAAAATCTTGAGAGGAACCTAGAAAAGTTTCTGCAGATATCTACTTAGTATTTAATAGTTGTCTACCCATGTCCATGGGCAGCAATAGCTGAATTGATCACTTGGTGAATGGGAATCATAGCCACAGACTGGGCTGAGAGAGAAGAAAAAGTTGTAGTTAGTCAGTAGTTGGGTATGAACCCCTCATCAGTTTCAGCATGATATCTTTTTTTTTTTTTTTTTCCCCCCCAACAAGTCGGCCGTCTCCCACCGAGGCAGGGTGACCCAAAAAAGAAAGAAAATCCCCAAAAAGAAAATACTTTCATCATCATTCAACACTTTAACCACACTCACACATTATCACTGTTTTTGCAGAGGTGCTCAGGATACAACAGTTTTGTGTATGCTTCTAAACTGTTGTATTCTGAGCACCTCTACAAAACCAGTGATAATGTGCGAGTGTGGTGAAAGTGTTGAATGATGATGAAAGTATTTTCTTTTTGGGGATTTTCTTTCTTTTTTGGGTCACCCTGCCTCGGTGGGAGACGGCCGACTTGTTGAAAAAAAAAAAAAAAAAATCTTCTATTTTTTGAGTAGTGTGTGATGGTAGTCTGTACATATTGGGTTGATTCTTAATTATATTCTGACAGTATTTTTAAGAAAAGCTTAACCTTTAAAATATTAAAGATTATTTTTTAGGAGTGACATGAATTTTCTTGTTGGCTTGACATGAATGTAGTTTCTGCTTTTGTTAATAGGTAAGGAAAATTCCTTGGGATATATAATGTCTATAGCAGTTTGAGTCTCAATATTAACCCTTTGAGGGTCATTCTCATTCATGTACGGCTTAACAGCCAGTGTCGGTCCCGTACTTATATGCCAAAATTCTAGCGCCTTCAGATCTGGTGGAAGAAAGCTGGTAGGCCTACATACGAAAGAATGGGTCTGCATAGTCATTGTGCGTAGTATAAAAAATCCTGCAGCACGCACTGCATAATGGAAAAAAAAACTGTCTGGTTTAAAACTGACTTTGCAGTGTATTTTTGTATGGTATTTATGGTTGTATTCTTGTTTTCTTGGTCTCATTTGATAGAATGGAAGATATATTACAGAAATAGAGATGATTTTGATTGATTTTATGATGAAAAGTACCTAGAAATTGAGCTCAAAGTAGCAGAAATGTTCTATTTTTGTCAGTGTTCAAGTAAACAAATCACACCATGCATCCAATACACGTCAACTGGTGACTAATATTCTTCACAAGTGCGCTGATATTATTTATATCATTCTTTCTTTCAACACACTGGCCGTATCCCACTAAGGCGGGGTGGCCCAAAAGGAAAAATGAACGTTTCTCCTTTTATTTTTTTATTATCACTGGCCGATTCCCACCAAGGCAGGGTGGCCCGAAAAAGAAAAACTTTCACCATCATTCACTCCATCACTGTCTTGCCAGAAGGGTGCTTTACACTACAGTTTTTAAACTGCAACATTAACACCCCTCCTTCAGAGTGCAGGCACTGTACATCCCATCTCCAGGACTCAAGTCTGGCCTGCCGGTTTCCCTGAACTCCTTCATAAATGTTACTTTGCTCACACTCCAACAGCACGTCAAGTATTAAAAACCATTTGTCTCCATTCACTCCTATCAAACACGCTCACGCATGCCTGCTGGAAGTCCAAGCCCCTCGCACACAAAACCTCCTTTACCCCCTCCCTCCAACCTTTCCTTGGCCGACCCCTACCCCGCCTTCCTTCCACTACAGACTGATACACTCTTGAAGTCGCTCTGTTTCGCTCCATTCTCTCTACATGTCTGAACCACCTCAACAACCCTTCCTCAGCCCTCTGGACAGCAGTTTTGGTAATCCCGCACCTCCTCCTAACTTCCAAACTACGAATTCTCTGCATTATATTCACACCACACATTGCCCTCAGACATGACATCTCCACTGCCTCCAGCCTTCTCCTCGCTGCAACATTCATCACCCATGCTTCACACCCATATAAGAGTGTTGGTAAAACTATACTCTCATACATTCCCCTCTTTGCTTCCAAGGACAAAGTTCTTTGTCTCCACAGACTCCTAAGTGCACCACTCGCCCTTTTCCCCTCATCAATTCTATGATTCACCTATCTTTCATAGACCCATCCGCTGACACATCCACTCCCAAATATCTGAATACATTCACCTCCTCCATACTCTCTCCCTCCAATCTGATATACAATCTTTCATCACCTAATCTTTTTATCCTCATAACCTTACTCTTTCCTGTATTCACTTTTAATTTTCTTCTTTTGCACACCCTACCAAATTCATCCACCAATCTCTGCAACTTCTCTTCAGAATCACCCAAGAGCACAGTGTCATCAGCAAAGAGCAACTGTGACAACTCCCACTTTGTGTGATTCTTTATCTTTTAACTCCACGCCTCTTGCCAAAACCCTCTCATTTACTTCTCTTACAACCCCATCTATAAATATATTAAACAACCACGGTGACATCACACATCCTTGTCTAAGGCCTACTTTTACTGGGAAATAATTTCCCTCTTTCCTACATACTCTAACTTGAGCCTTACTATCCTTGTAAAAACTCTTCACTGCTTTCAGTAACCTACCTCCTACACCATACACCTGCAACATCTGCCACATTGCCCCCCTATCCACCCTGTCATACGCCTTTTCCAAATCCATAAATGCCACAAAGACCTCTTTAGCCTTCTCTAAATACTGTTCACTTATATGTTTCACTGTAAACACCTGGTCCACACACCCCCTACCTTTCCTAAAGCCTCCTTGTTCATCTGCTATCCTATTCTCCGTCTTACTCTTAATTCTTTCAATAATAACTCTACCATACACTTTACCAGGTATACTCAACAGACTTATCCCCCTATAATTTTTGCACTCTCTTTTGTCCCCTTTGCCTTTATACAAAGGAACTATGCATGCTCTCTGCCAATCCCTAGGTACCTTACCCTCTTCCATACATTTATTAAATAATTGCACCAACCACTCCAAAACTATATCCCACCTGCTTTTAACATTTCTATCTTTATCCCATCAATCCCGGCTGCCTTACCCCCTTTCATTTTACCTACTCCCTCACGAACTTCCCCCAACTCACAACTGGCTCTTCCTCACTCCTACAAGATGTTATTCCTCCTTGCCTATACACGAAATCACAGCTTCCTATCTTCATCAACATTTAACAATTCCTCAAAATATTCCCTCCATCTTCCCAATACCTCTAACTCTCCATTTAATAACTCTCCTCTCCTATTTTTAACTGACAAATCCATTTGTTCTCTAGGCTTCCTTAACTTGTTAATCTCTCTCCAAAACTTTTTCTTATTTTCAACAAAATTTGTTGATAACATCTCACCCACTCTCTCATTTGCTCTCTTTTTACATTGCTTCACCACTCTCTTAACCTCTCCTTTTCTCCATATACTCTTCTTTTATATTTAGTAATATATACAGGAGAAGGGGTTACTAGCTCCTGGCATTTTAGTCGCCTCTTACAACACGCATGGCTTATGGAGGAAGAATTCTGTTCCACTTCCCCATGGAGATAAGAGGAAATAAATAAGAACAGTAACTAGAAAGAAAATAGCAGAAAACCCAGAGGGGTGTGTATATATATGCTTGTATGTGTATTGTGACCTAAGTGTAAGTAGAAGTAGCAAGATGTACCTGAAATCTTGCACGTTTATGATTCAGAAAAAAGGACACCAGCAATCCTACCATCATATAAAACAATTACAGGCTTTTGTTTCACTCGCTTGGCAGGACGGTAGTAACTCCTGGGTGGTTGCTGTCTACCAGCCTACTACCTATAATTTATATCATATGTATTTATAATAATGAAGTAGTCTGCATAACAGTAAATCTATTTTTTATGAGAAAAATTCAATATGGAAAGCAAGAGTAATATAAGAGGGGCCTGGAGACGTGACTAATGAACAGAGAAAATGTTATTTTAGTGCCATGAACGTCTGTCTTGTTTATTCTGGATTCTATTTTGAAATTGGCATCTTTTGAAATTTGTGTGAAATTGACCAAATTGCCAATTTCTGACCACTTTATTGGGTAGTTGAAATCAGTAAATGGGCAGTTTCTTGTAATCAGTCAATAGAACAAATGGAGTTCTAGGGAAGTAGCTATGATTTTAGTCGACTGGAACAATGGAATTGGCCGAAAGGTCTCAAAGTGGGCAAGATCGCTGATGCGTAAATATCACTAAGTTCACGAGAGCGTAATTTCATAAGTTTTCCATCAAATTTCATACTTTTGGTGTCATTACCATCGGGAAAAGATTCTTATCATTTCATAAGATAATTTTTTTTTTTTTTTCTCCTCCTCTCTCGACCCTGAGAGTGAGTTAAGGATCAGGGGTCTCAACCCTGATTTCTTCTACTTATAAATTTCTTTGAGTCTTGTTTAGATTATTAGATAAGTGGAAATATACAGCCTGTTGAAGAATATCCCTTGCATGTTTTGTTTGGGAGGGGGAAAATCTTATCAAGGGAGGTGCCTAAATGCTGGTGAAGTGCTCTTGGTCTGAAGAATTGCAACTCCCCTTTCCTTGGTTCTAATCTGATTGCCTCCCATTTCCCAAGGTGCTATATGACCTCTGGGTTTAGCATTCTCTCAAGTAAACTAAATAAAATTTCTAGGGAGAGTAGAAGAATGAGAAATAGTATTTGATTATCTGAATTTTTTATGCAAAAATTAATAGATACCTATTGAATTTTGGTACTTAATGGGCATTGCAATATCAGGTCCACCTCCAGCCTCCTTACCAACAGTGGTAGCTTCTGCTTTGAACACAAGAGAGCAAGCTGACTGGTGGACTGCAGCTTATACCCTCTTCACCAACCGTGCACATCATCGGCTTAGCAAACTTAGGATGACCTTACAACGAGGCTTGGAAGTTATTAGAGCTCTTGGCAACCATGGTGTTGACCTCACTCTTATGGCACACCTAGCACAGAGTTTCACAAAGTGGGTAAGTAATGTGAATAATGTAACCTGATTTGTTAAAAAAAAAAATTTCTTCATAAATTCTGCACATTTTTCATGTACGTAGTGTGTTTGGCTTGTATGCGAAATATATTTATAGTAAAAGTGGTTTTCATTTGTGTATAAAGTAAATATTGTGTTTACCTACAGGCCGGTGCTGCAGCGGAAGATGGAAGTACTAACAGTGAAATTGATGCATTGAAGGACCGTGCGGAGCATTATTGGCATCGTGTTTTGACGCTGTGTCAGAGAGCTGCACGAAATGTTACTAATATTATGCCACGAAATCCACTATTTGTCGTTCAGAGGTAAGTCTTTTTTTTTTTTTTTTTTTTTTTTTTTTTTTTTACTATAGTTGTATGATTGTTTTTTGCTTGCTTATTAAATGTAAGAACTTTATTGAAAAGACACTCAGATTTTCACCACGTGATCTTTGATTTCAGTGCAAGTCTATCACCTGAAGAGCGGGAAAAATTAGAGGAGGAAGGGAAATACTTCTTGGCAATGCGTCTTGTTCATTCCGGCAAGCAACAAGAAGCCATACAAGCTCTTGGAGAATTGAAAAGCCCTGAGGCATCTTTCCAGAGAGCAATGGTCAGTATGCTTTACCTCAGTGTCCCATCCGTAGTGCTCAACCTAATTTTTAAGAATATTAAAATTGTACACTTCAGTAATATTTTAAAATATGTACAACATAACAAAATGTTATTTTTCTTCTCTATGAATAGACGAGATGTTTAAGTTACAATTGTTGACTTCAAGTTAAACATGCTGTACAAGTCTGTCAATTGATAGGAAAATTAATGTTTTAAGTGTTCTGAAGTGTATTGTAACTACAATGAATGAATGGGGGGGGGAAACCTGATTGCTTTTGTTTCTGCAGTTACTCTAATTCTTGGCTTGGTTTGCATGGTTGAGCACCTGGAATTAATGTGGAATGACTAAATTAATGAACTCAAAAAAGCCAGATGTAAGGCCAGGGTAATGCATGGATCTTTATCTTTCAGCTATACAAAGAACGAGCGAATGCAATGCTGACTGAGGGTAACCTGGAGTCTTTGACTTCAGAAATAAGGTCCCAGCACACCATCCTCCTCACTCAGGCGCGAGATACACTTTACCTCACATTGGATAGACTGCGCATGCCAGGTGAAAAACTAAAGTGTGTGTGTTTTGTAAATGTGATTGTTGGGTGGGGATGTTGTAGTTAGGAGGATCATTTGAACTGTGTCATCCATTCATTTGGGAAACAACTTGTAGAGAATGAGTGATGGGAAGAATGCGTTTTCTCCTCCTGCCTTGGTAAGTAGGAACATTCTTTCCTTTCTCCTCAACACCCCAAAAAAAAAAAAAAAAAAAAAAAAAGCTGCAAGAACTCCCATTTTGGAGGAGTTTCAGTATGGGTAATAGAATGGAAGCTAATAAGTAAACATTGGCGAGATTTAATGCTGTTTGAGAGATTGTAAGAAAAGGGGGTGTTTCGGGGATCAACGCCCTTGTGGCCTGGTCCATGACCAGGTCTTGTGGTGGAACAGGGCCTGATCAACCAGGTTGTTACTGCTGACCGCATACAAACTGACATACGAACCACAGCCCAGTTGGTCGGGAACCAACTTTAGTTACCTGTCCAGCTTCCTCTAGAAGACAGCCAGGGGTCTTGGTAATCCCCATTGGTGGGAGGCAGTTGAACGGTCTTGGGCCCCCTGACACTTATTGTGTTGTCTCTTAGTACATATAAAATATGTATGGGATTGGTGGCTAAGCTATGGAAAGAACATGCTTGATGCTGTGTGCATATGAGAAAATTGTATGGAATACAGAAAAATAATTAAATGAATAATTATGCACCTGGAGAGAGAAGTGTAGAGGAGAGAGATTTTGGGAAATGTTGAGTGAATGCGTAGGGAGTTTTGAATCGAGTGAGAGGTTACTTGTGGTTGGGGATCTCGATGCTAAAGTGGGTAAAAATGTTGTAGAGGGAGTAGTAGGTAAATTTGGAGTGCCAGGGGTAAATGAAAATGGGGAGCCTTTAATTGAACTGTGTAGAAAGAAGTTTGGTAATAAGTAATACATATTTTATGAAAGAGGATAAATAAGTATACAAGGTATGATATAGCATGTAATGAAAGTAGTTTGTTAGATTATGTATTGGTGGATAAAAGGTTGATGGGTAGGCTTCAGGATGTACATGTTTATAGAGGGGCAACGGATATTCTTCTTTCAACAAACTGGCCATATCCCACCGCGGCAGGGTGACCCAAAAAGAAAAACTTTGGTAATGTATACAGGAGGAGTTGCTAGCCCCTTGCTACCAGCATTTTAGTTGCCTCTTACAACACGCATGGCTTTTGGAGGAAGAATTCTGTTCTACTTTCCCATGGAGATAAGAGAAATAAACAAGAACAAGAACTAGTAAGAAAATAGAAGAAAACCGAGAGGTGTGTGTGTGTGCATACAGGCATTCGTTTTACACTCGCTTGGCAGGATGGTAGTACCTCCCTGAGCGGTTGCTGTCTACCAACTTACTACCTAGGGGGCAACGGATATGTCTGATTATTATCTAGTTGTAGCTACAGTTAGAGGTAGATGGGACAAAAAGAAAATGGCAACAGTAAGTGAGAGAGAAGTGAAAGTTTATGAATTAAGGGAGGAAGAAGTTAGGTTGAGATATAAGCAACTTTTGGCAGAAAGGTGGGCTAGTGCAAGTATGGGTAGTTGGGGGTTAAAGAGGGATGGGATAGTTTTAAAAATGCAGTATTAGAATGTGGGGCAGAAGTTTGTTTCTATAGGAGGGTGGGTTCAGGAGGAAAGGGGAGTGATTGGTGGAATGATGAGGTAAAGGGCATAATAAAAGTGAAAAAGGTAGCTTATGAGAGGTTTTTACAAAGCAGAAGTGATATAAGAAGGGCATAGTATATGGAGAGTAAAAGAAAGGTGAAGAGAGTGCAGAAGGAGAGCAAATGATAGTAGGAGAGGTACTGTCAAGAAATTTTGCTGAGAATAAGAAAAAATTTTGGAGTGAGATAAGTTAAGTAAGCCTAGGGAACAAATGGATTTCTCAGTTAAAAACAGAGTAGAGGAATTAGTAGATTGTGATGCGTTCTTCTGGAAGGGCACCTTGAGAAAGAGGAAAAGTGGATACCTTTATTTCTCCGAGCCATCCTGATTAGGTGGGAAATGGCCAGTGCTAAAAAAAAAAAAAAAAAAAAAAAAAAAGTTACAAATGGTCTGCCAGCATCAGTCATTTATAGGTAGGTATATCAAGCATTTTAAAGATGGTGTACAAGAGTAGTGTATGATTATTGTACTGATATTTATTTATTTAGTGTGGTAATGTTAAAAGTAAACATATTTTACTTTAAACCTGTTTATTTTTATGTACAGGTGTGGACCGTTTCCATCCATTAAACACTAAACTTAGTCAACAGTTAGAAGATGTGGAGAGACGTTTGTCCCACATGACTCTTGACCAGGACATAACTGCGCAGCGAGAAGATGACACAGAATCAATCTCGGATGCATCACAATCGCCAAATCCTGATCTTACAAATGGGCATGTGACCAACATGCCTCAAATGACAGTGTTTAGTACACCATATAGAGATATTAAAAATTCGACACGGATAACTAGACAGGTAAGTTACATAAGTGATTCAACCTCCCTGGGGACTGCAAGTGTTCATAATTTAGTAAGTGAAATGGAATAGTTATCATAGAAGTTTCATTGCCAGCTGTAAATTTAGCTACATTTGAAAGAGGAGTATTATTGTTAGTAGTAGTATTAAAGCTTGTTTTTTTTCCCTTTAGGAAGCACGACCTAGTCCTGAGCGTTTAGATGCCCAGGTGAGAGCTCTTTCAGAGGTACAAGAGAATACACTTAAAAACATGGAAGAACAAAATGCTGCCCTGAAAGTTCAAAATGAAGCACTGAGGAATTTCTGTACCACAATGGCTAGCGAATTCAAAGAAAATTCATCACTGTATCGTAGTATGTTGGACCAAAACAAGTTATTCTGTCAAGAGGCATATACTTCAATATTGAATGAAATGAAGCAGATATATTCCACTGTAAAGGACTTGCAAGTAAGTGGATTTTCAGATGACAAATGTAAAGGGGGAGGTTGGTAGACAGCAACCACACAGAGAGGAACTACTGTCCTGCCGAGTGAGTGTAAAACGAAAGCCTGTAATTGTTGTACATGATGGTAGGATTACTGGTGTCTTTTTTCCATCTCATAAACATGCAAGATTACAGGTACGTTCTTGCTACTTCTACTTACACTTGGGTCACACTACACATACATGTACACGTTTATGTATACATACTCATCTGAGTTTTCTTTGATTTTATCTTGATAGTTCTTGTTCTTATTGGTTTTCCTTTTATATCCATGGGGAAGTGGAATAGGAATCTTTCCTCTGTAAGCCATGCTTATTGTAAAAGTCAACTAAAATGCCGGGAACAATGGGCTAGTAACTCCTTTTCCTGTATAACCTACTAAACAGAAAAAGTAGAATACTGTCAAAGTGAGATGTTTGAATGTGCGTGGATGTTGTGCGAATGATAAGAAAGAGATGATTGTGGATGTTATGAATGAGAAGAAGCTAGATGTCCTGGCTTTAAGTGAAACAAAGATGGTGATTATATATGAATGATGGTGAACATTTTGATTGGTGGGAAACAGCTGATGTGTTAAAAAAAAATATATACAGTGTGTACGTTTCTCTTTCCATAGTTGACCATTTAATGATTCTTTGAAATTCTTCCACTGTTTTTTAGGTTTGCTTTACACAGTGCTACAACATAGAACTTTTTCTTATACGTTCCACCCACTTACATTCACACAGTCGTCCCCCCCCCCCCACTCCTTCCCACAGCAATCTATCCGATGCCTTAAATGCAAAATCTCTCCTCAACAGGCCCAGGTGCATACCATAGCGAGTGACATTGGAGATCTGCGAGCTTTAAAATCAGTTGCTAAGGTAGGCATCAAAATCATAATTTTTTGCTCTCTAAGCATATGTAAATAATATTGAATATAGTAAAAAAAAAAGCTAAGACTTAACATGTTTTATTGCATTTTGAGTTAATTACTCTCAAAAACTATTAAAAATTCCACTTTCAGCATTCAGAAGTAGCAGAAATTAAGACAAATGAAGAACATGTTCCTGTGGATATACCAGCTGGTATGTAGGATTTTTAAGTTTTTCTTAATGGTTTAGTTGTAACATACCTGAACCCTAACATATCTGAAACACTTCAGAAGTGCAGATACTGCACTTCCACCCTCTCTTCCCTCCCCAGACTAGATGCTGGCTAGCTAGTTTCTCTCAATAGATATTACTGTGCTTCTATTGCATCAGTTTGTAAAGCCCTATGGACCACTCTCCTTCATTTATGTCAATCAAAATCAACTGCATCCTACTTGATGCTAAAACATACCATTTGACCACCTTTTTTTTAACAACCTATGTCTCTACCCCTTCAAACCCTTCTTTGGGTGTGCTTTATATCTTTCTTCCAGTCCTGATGGATGCACTTACTAACAATGCACATTGGTCCATTTGACAAATGTGCTTGTGTCACCATTTACCTCTTTTTCATTGATTTTATTCTGGTTGTTAACAGTCCTGTTTTTACTTCTAAAGGAATTATTTAACAGCTTTGTATGGCTCCCTTATTCTGTTATTTTCTTTCTCACTTCTATCCTTGTTTAGCCTCTTAGCAGTGTTGACAAATTCCTTTATTTTTTCCTTATATTTTATTTTATTCTTTTTTGTTATGTTTATTAAAGTAATATTGCTTTCAACAGCTGTTGTCCCTCAAGGTCTGTATGGCAGTTATGTTGGGTACTATGGTCAGCAGCCAGTGCCCAGCCCCCTCATGCCTACTCCAGGGCTTTTTGGTAACCCTCCATTCTTCCCACCTTCAACAATGCCAGAGCAGTCATTCAGGTATGTTTCTAATATTGAAAGACAGCACTTTAATTCATAAGGATGTGGCATATCTTTTTCTGTATACTTAAAACATAGGCCTAGATTTGTGTCAAGGAGTTGGAAGGTTTCACTGAATGTGGGGATAATGAATAAGGAATAATGAAACCTTCCAGAACTATACAGAATGTACTCCTATTAGTAATATTGTAACAAATATTTTTCCAGCCATTTCTGAATTGAAATAATACTTTCTATATTTTACCTCAACATCTGTTTCCCACCCATAATTTTAATTATAATTAGATGTTCATGGTTCAGTATGTATGGTAGCCTTGAAAAATGTTGGCTTATAAGCAGAACATTTATGTACCACACTTTAATATTTTATTCCCACTTTCTGAGTTCAGTCATTTGTAATTCTATTTTGTATTGTCTCATGTTTTCATTTATATATAAAGACATAGTTCAAGGCTCTTTTATTCCTGATGTTTTGGGGTAACATATCTGCATTCTCAACAGCATGGCTGCTAGTGTGACCCAAGGACCCTCCATCTCTACTTTATCCCAAGCCAGCACTTCCCTGGTAACTCCCACATTGGGTTCTCCTGCTGGCATCGCTGTTAAAGAGCCTATCTCGTCACCATCTATTTCGGCTACCCAGGTAAACATTATTATATAATATCTTTGATGCACCTCATCCATAAAAATATTAAGAGGGCAGACCTCATTGTGAGACCCAAATATTGAGAACTTACTTTTAATTGTCAGAAGTTATCATATATTTATAGTTTTGGCAGTAAAATAAGTGAATGTTGTGAATCTGAATTTAAGTGTGAGTTGTTACAGTTAATTGTTTTTGATGAGTCATTTGGCAGATTAAGAATAGGCTGCAGAAATTGGTGGGGAGGAACTTTGAAGGGTGTGTACTGTTTATGTACAGTATGCACTGTTCATGTGCAGTATGTATTGTTTGTAATACATGTCATTATTAATGTTTAGAAATATAACTTTGAAAGCTTGGCAGGGGTATTTAAATTGTAAATAGGAGTTTTATGCCTTCATTATCTACTGATCAGCCCTAGTTAACCAATTTTATGGTTGACAGTGCATTCCTGCTAGCAGCCTGGGTAGTATCAGTTGGAGTTTGGCCACTTCAATTGCATCTGTCACCACAGCTGGTACCAGCAGTAGTAGATTACCTGAAGCTGCTGCTCCTGCACATGCCTTTCAGATCACTATGCCACCTGTTTCTAATGCTCTCACTCCTCCTCCAAGATCTATGCCAGGTATGTGTGTGTTTGTCCAGCTGGGTAAAGTATCACATCAGATGTCATTAATTTGTTTCAACCAAATTTGATCATCAAGGATATTTAACCTATTTTTAGCTTTCCTGGATACATAGCTGTAGTGTTTTTCATTACTAGGTTTTTGTAAATGTTTATCCCAGCTGATATGCAGTTGATCAAAATTTCTCCATATCTTAAAACCATGATAGCGTGATGATTCTAAGAACCAGTAACACGTACAGTAAGAGTCCCAAATAGCACGCACATTGTGTTCCTGAAATTGGTAATATATGTAAGTCAAGATGTGTTAACAGCAGCAACCCAGCCTTGCACATGCATTATATTTATCACAGAATAAAATCAAAGCACTCAAACTGATGATACTGTCACCCCTTTCCCCTCCGTCTTATGATTGATAATATATAGTAAACTCTGGATTCTGTATTTATATGAAATTCCAGGTTATTAGTGGTTTTGAGGGATGATATATGCATCATTAAACATGCAAATGATGCTCATGACACCAGTGAATCTATGAAGTGTCAGAGTTCAATTAGTAGCTGCTCTTGCATTGCTGTATTATAGTGTAATTGGAGCATTTCTTTGTCCTTGTAAATTTTCTTGTAATTTAATGTTAGACAACATAAAAGCTAAGGTAGAGCCTCCAGACAGCAATAGCCTGGTTACCCAGGCAGTCGAGAGAGAGAGAGAGAGAGAGAGAGAGAGAGAAACCTGCAAAATTGGTCCTGTATGTCATGGGTGATGGTGTCAGTTTCATTCCCCTTGAGTGTGCCAATGGCTGTAATTATCTCTTTGAATTACAGGGGTAACTTCCAATTTTAGTCCTGCCTTTAAGGCATGTCTATGTTTCATTTCCAGTATGGAGCTTACTTCCATTCTGTCATTTCAGCTCTTTTTCCCATTACCACTCCCAATATTGTGGCTCATTTGGGTGTGCGATTTCCTACTGTACTCTTCTCGTGTTGCATCCTTTGTCTAACTTGTCTATCCTGAGGTATTTTTGCTAAGGCTTCATCTTAATTTGTTTGTTGGTGACTCTTGCTCAATAGCCAAAAATCAGAATGCAGAATTATTCATCAGACGTTTAAGTATTCCTGACAATTGACAAAGCTGAACTTTTTTTTATAATATTCAGAAGGCAACTCCTCCAACAAGAGGGAGTTTCCTTAGGACTCAAGTGTAAGGATACAAACATTAAAAGTGGCAGTGGAATGTCATCATCAATCTCTTTGGTCAATAATCTCTTCTTAATGTGAAAATAACACCAGTCCTGTCCATGTCAGTGTAATGTTCAGAAACTAATCATTGTGGGGAATAATGTTCTTGGTTTAACTCTTACCTTTTATTAAGTCAGGTTCATTTTTTCATTAAAATATGAAACATTTCTGAAAAGCAATGATTATATTTTGCTGTTGAAAATCAGCTGCCTGAAGAATGTTGCTGACTTGTTTCCAAAAGTATTGGACAGAAATGTCTTTTAAACATGGACGTAATTTTCTTGGGTTTCTTTTAAATTTTTTATTGTTGGTGGTTCTTAAGAGATAAAGTTCGTGCCTTAATTATTCGACCATCATAATCTTGCGTGTGCCTTCACCATTACAGTACTGCATATTTCTGTAATACAGATGTTTTGTTTATACTGTATTGGGATCAGGATGGTGAATTTGGTACAGTACTTTCTCCAGTTTCTTGCAGTTAGAATATTTACTACATTAACAAACCACATGCAATGCTGAACCACCAGAATTTTTCAGTTCATTCCTCATTAAGTTATAAGGACATTTACAGTTTATTCACATTATAAGAACCTTGAGTTTTTAATATGGTTAGTTCTTTTATTCTGGTATATATACAAGTATTTCTCAACCTATTTGCCAGACGACCCAATTTTAGGATAATGGTTTTGCTAATTTGGTGGGATATATTCATTCACATTTTACTTCTTGGTAATAAAAGGCTTTCTCAGCATTGCTTGCCATTATTTTTCTTGTTTGCATTAAATGCCCTGTTAAGCTCTTCCACAATTTTTGTGCATGGATTTCTATTAATAAAACACACAGATTAGATGCACTTAATACATGTGTTCAACAGCTGATGTTAAGGTTGGTGATAATGGCTTTTTTAGTCCTATTTTGGTGCTTAAAACAAACTACTGGTACTTGCCTTAACGATAAAATGTCAGCATATTAAACGTAAGGTACAGCAATTATGGTGTAAAATTTTACACAGTAGGACCCCTGTATCCGCAGATTTGTTTTCCTCCATTTCGGTTATCCATAAAGCACAATAGTAGTGATGGTGGCAGTTGTTCAAAGCCTAAGAGAAGCTGTGAAGTGCTTCTCCACTTATTGGAGGGAGGGGGTAAAGGAGGTTTTGTGGGCGAGGGGCTTGGACCTCCAGCAAGCATGCGTGAGTGTGTTAGGGGTGAATGGAGACGAATGGTATTTGGGACCTGACGTGCTGTTGGAGTGTGAACAGGGTAATATTTAGTGAAGGGATTCAGGGAAACCGGTTATTTTTATGTAGTCGGACTTGAGTCCTGGAAATGGGAAGTACAATGCCTGCACTTGAAAGGAGGGGTTTGGGATATTGGTAGTTTGGAGGGATATGTTGTGTATCTTTATACGTATATGCTTCTAAGCTGTTGTATTCTGAGCACCTCTGCAAAAACAGTGATTATGTGTGAGTGAGGTGAAAGTGTTGAATGATGATGAAAGTATTTTCTTTTTGGGGATTTTTTTCTTTTTTGGGTCACCCTGCCTCGGTGGGAGACGGCAGACTTGTTGAAAAAAAAAAATGTATATGAACGAAAAAGGACTTGCACCTAGGGTTCGCTTCTATCCGTGATTTTGGGTATCTGTAGTAGGTCTTGGAATGTATTCCCTGTGGATACAGGAGGACTACTGTAATACCACAATCAAAGATCATCTTTGTCTGTACAAGCAGAGTTATCTGGCGATGTATTATTACGTTTCATCTTGAGAATGAATAGCTTAAAAATAATTATAATGCCTATGGTTAAGTGTAATAGTTACGTATTTTAAGCACTTTACAGGGGTTTTAGGATTCTGACTAGTCTTTCCCTCCAATAAAATTAAAATTTCTAAATATAAAAATATTTGTACTTTACACTTAATTAGTAGTAAATAAATATTTGGGGCTTCACATAAGATAATATAGTTAGGTGAATTCATCAGCTTTTGTGCATTACTGGTACTATTATATTTCAGTATCTTGTTTTAGTTTTTAATTATGTATAACAGTAGATATTTATCAACTAAATGTGGAATTTTTTCTTGCCAATTGCACTATGATAACACTAGGAGAGTTGCTGTCCCATACCCTCCCCTGCTCCACCACTGCGGGTCTCCTGGCCAATGTGCCTCCCCCACTCTACTCGGCGGTCACTCCAGATTCATCCCCAGTACGTGGCGAGTCACAAATTCAGTCACTGTCGTCGGTGATGTCAACAGAAGGCTTGTCATCAGCATCTAACAATTTGATAGCCCCGTCTGCTGCGTCCGGTTCATGGGATAGCTCTCTTAGTATGTCTTTTTCTGTTTTGAGTGTCGTGTTGTGCTTATAGGGTTGCTTTTGCATGGCTAACTTCCAAATCTTGTGCAGATAGGTTTATCCCTCTCATGCTTGCATTATTTAGTTTTGTTGTTCACCTGGTACATAAATTCCTTAGGAAAGCTACAGTATTAAATTGATTTGTTACTCTCATATGCTTGCATCACATTTTTTCACTTGGTAAAAATTTCTTCGTAATACTGCTCAACTCGAGTTTCTAGTGTAGGGATAATGTATGTACTGTACATATTCAAGTATGTGTTCAGCCATATGATGTGATCACAATTGTGGTGTCTTAGATCAGCAATATACTGTATGCAGAGGTAGGTGAATTGTTTTGAAATTAGTAAAAGGTGTTAAAGATATGGTGAAACCTTAGTTTTCTTCATATGCCTAGGCGAGTACTATGAGGTACTCATCATATGTGCTTAATGGACCAACGATTGATCCTTTGCCACTAATTGTGCTAAATGACCCACACAAGTTTAGCACTTCAAATAAGGAGCAACTGCAGTATTGTAATTTATTGGCATGATAGAGCCTTGAACCTACATTCTGGTATCGCTAGCTCGTTTTCTTAGCCTTGGAGTCATAAAGTTTCCCTGGGAAGGTAGGTGATGGCCACTTACGTTGAGCCACTCATGTGTTTGTAAGGAGAGATGCCCAACTCAACATTATCATTGTGATGAAAACTTGAGTGAATGAAATTAAACATTCAGTGGAGTGCATGAGTGAGAGAATTATGAAGGAATAAAGCTTAACAAATACAACACAAGGTTAACAGATTCACCAGCAAGGAAGTTTCAGACTATCAATCTGAAATGCAGAGAGGTAGCACAAGTTTGTACCTACAGGGAATTTAACAAGTCCTGAGTATTAGAAGGGCCTGTGAGGAGATTCTCAAACTGTAATATCAGCACACCTCTGGCAAGACAGTGATAGTGAATGATGGTGAAAAAAAATTTTTTTGGGGGGGGGGGGGGTCACCCTACCTCGATGGGAGATAACCAGGGTTTTTTAAACACATTCAAAGGCCCCTATTATTATTTACCCTTGGCACCCCAAACTCATTATGCCCTCTACAACATTTACTCCCACTTTAGCATTTAGGTTCCCCACCACAATTATTCTTCTTAGTTTAGAACTCCCTAAACAATCACTCAACATCCCTCAGAATCTCGCTCGTTTTCACTACTCTGTTCCCCACATGCATAAACACTTGGTATAACCCATTTATTGCATCTGACCCTTATTTTGATCCACATAATCCTTGAATTTATGCATTTATATTTCCTCTTTTCCTTCCATAACTGATCTTCAACATTATTGCTACTCCTTCCTTAGCTCTAACACACTCGGATAACCCTGACCGAATCCCATATATCTCTCGACAAACTCTCGGCTTTATCTTGCTTAGAACCAGGACAGTCAGCTTCTTTTCATTCATAATGAATGAAAAGGCACAATACCGTGACTAGAACAATACACAATATTTTGGTCTGGCTTGGACCATTAAGTAGTCACACTATCGTGTAACTGGTTAATGGTCCAAGTCAGACTGAAACATTGTCATGAGCTTCATTCTCCTGCATGAGAATTACTTGTATATTCATTCATAATATTGACAACGAATCAGGAAGGAGGGGAAGGAAAGATGCCTTAGGGTATCCCTCCTGGTATATCTCATTGAAAGGCATCTGCTGAGATATTCCTCACACTAGGATGATCTGTAGTTCCAGTTCTGTCAACACAAAAATCCAAAAAGTGACTGGGAGGAAAAAAATGGGGGTAATATATAGGCATTTATGCCAGTAATCAAAAGACCAGTAAGAAAAAAACATTAATGAATAAGCAAGGAAGTAGAAACACAACTTTAAGTGGCCATCATATAGCAGCCAAAGAAACAGTGGGACTAAAGAGCTAGAGCTCACCTACGAAAAACTCAAATAGGTAGATAATTGCTTAAAGTAGAAGAATCGTGTATGCATCACATGCTACAAATTATGTTGTATTTGATATTATATTTATTCTTCATTTTCCTAGTCACCTGTATACAGCAGGGCCCCACATATACAGCACCCATTTTCACTGTTCCACATTTTCATTGACTTCGTTGAGCCATTGTTGCACCGCCAGTGACAATTATCAACGGGCGGAACGTAATGAACAAAGGCTCGATTTGAAGTCAACAAAAACTTGGACCACCAAGAAGGTGGTGGTGCACATGTGTGGGGCCTTCCAGCATGTGTGCATTCTCTATTTGGCTGGGTTTTTATTTTCTCTGTAATATTTCTTTGGCCTTCAGTATTGGGGGGTATTAATTTGTTCGGACATCTTTTATATTAATATTTACTGGTTTCTCTTCAACATCATGCATGTTTTTGCATTGATTTGTGACTAGTGTTGCATGTGCAGATAAATGCCTACTTGTAAGTACTGGCATATGCATTTCCTCTGTACACACTATTCCCTCCCTTCATAGGAGATGCCTTTATTCTAGTGAAGTGCTCTTGATCCAAGAAATAGGAGCTATCCTTCCCTTTGATTAAATGTCAGTGCCTTCTTTTTCTTTGGATTTAGCCTTTTCCCATGAATGTAATAACACTACTTCTACATATTAGCACAGGACAAATACATTTTCACACGCTTTAATGTGCACTCGCATGCACTCTAAATGTATACTCTGTGCACAGTACCAAAAGCTTTTTAAATGTTTTATGTGGAGTATGTATCTAGTGATCTCCAGTAGCCAGTAACATGAGTACTGGTGTGAGTGTAAATTATTATTTTTTTTTTTTTCTCGCCAAGTGCCAAAAAAAAAAATATCCAAATTAACGTATTAAATGAATTATTTGGCATTGAACAGTGTGTAAGCAGGGATGACCATTCATTTAGGTAGTCCTAACCAACTTTGTTAATGAATTCTTTAGTAAGCCCCATCTTCAGTAACATGACTGCTACTCATTGGTTTACATTATAAAGCTTCGTCATCTGTGCTCACATATTCTCTCCACTGTGCTACCCCTTTTGTCTAATTAATTTTCTTGGCTAATATTTTCTCTGTGTAGTTATTGTATTAATACCACAACAATTTTAATTAATGTTAATTCATCGCATACAATTGGTGTATTACCAGAGTACTTTTTAAAGTATACTTTTTCAGTATAAAGTGATCTCGATAAGTGCTACAATTACTGCATGTCAATTCTTTATCTCAGTGCATGTTTTTTCAGCTTTGGAAAAGCATTAAAAAAATTGCCAAATCTTTGTTTGCACCCTTAAAATAATTATTACAAGTGCGGGCAGTACATTGATCTCAAACTTTAATCTCCTTGAAGAAGGTAGGGTTACATTTAGATTAATTTAAACTAGTTTCCTTTATACGAGGTGCTGGGAAGAAAACCAGTGAAGTCAGCAGTCAGCAAAAATTGCATTTCCTGTACCATGTTCATCATTCTCTCAAGTACCCTCTACCTTACTCAGATTGGCAAGTTTGTTATTTTTACTCTACCCTGCATTCATGCCCAAACACAGTGATTTGGCTCCCAAGAAAACCAACAAATTCATGATACCACTATTAAGATCAAAACTTTTTCTTAAAAATGATGCCAATTTGATCCAAATTTGGTGGTTACCAAGATACTGTTGCATACATGTTGCAAAAAGATTGTAGGTGATTTTCTCAAGAGGGACATTTGTCAAGTTTGTCGGTCTTCTTCTCAGTTCCTCGCATATCTGCATTGCCACTGATAAACCAGTTAGCCAAGTTTGAGTTCTTGAAGTGGGAAGCACAGTGCCTTTGCTCTGAAGGATAGGTGAGGATGTACCATAATGGCTTAGAGGGTCACATGAATTGAATCCATATATTTCTGGAAGGAAAGCTAGAAAATGTGATGGTGAATGAGTTCACTTCTTTGGGTCACCCTACCTTGGTGGCAAATTACCTGTGTATTAAAAAATTCTGGCTTTTCATAAAGATCTAACTGATTCATGCATCAAACCAAAGGTAATATGCTTTCCTAATTCATTTTATCTTGATCCAAAATGGGTTGACTCATAAGTACATTACTTCTGTACTGTTACTGACGCAAATAGGTCCTTTGGAGGGATGGCCAAGTTGATATAAGTATATACATAATGTATTAAATTAGGGGAGTTGGCAGTATTAACCTGTCTGTTCTTATGAGTTATCTTTAACACTCGGCAATTTCCATGTTGCTTTGCCACAAGAAGCTTCATATTGTTACTATCTAGTTTTTGTGGATGCAACAGGTTTGCTGTAATTGCAATTGTACTTACAATATGATGTTAGATTGCTGCATCTATTACTGATTTTTTGATCTCTTGCCCACTGCAATTGGATCCATTGTTTTGTGAAATTTTTTTTAATAGTCTGCCTCTGCTGTGTTGTGAAGCTTGTTCCAACTGTACTACTATGTTGTGAAGGTTGTTTCAACTGTGTTACTATATTGTGAAGCTTGGTCCAACTGTACTACTATGCTTACAGTGAAGTGTTTCTTTGTGACGTGCCCAGTTTGTTGGTTCCATTGTTCCAGATCCATTCCTGATAGTGCTTCTCATTGCCTAGTATTATTGTGTACATTGCAAACATATTGCTGTCTCCTCTACATTCTTTTAAGAAGAGATGTAGCTTGTGCAGCATTTCCTCATTGCTCAAGTCTTTCAGTCTAGTATTTTGAGTGAGGGTATAAAAATTCTTGTAATTGGTTTGGTAGGTAATAGTTGCTAAACATAGTTGAATGCAAATGGGTGAAAGTTGTAAATACAACTTTTAGAGTAATTAGATGAAAATAGACAGCTTCATAGTGCAGCTAATTGTAATATGCTAATTAACAGCGAAGTGTAATGTTACTGCTCTGAATCAGTTGTTAAACATCAATTATGATAAGGAGTGACCACATTTAAAATTGTTTACATAACATAGCAACACATTAAATACACATTCGTATATATTAAAAAAATTCTCTACAGCTTTTATGGGTGCCTTCAAGTCTCCTGTTGGACTTACTGAGTCAAAGATCACTCCCGTCAAAAGTAAGGAGGCAGCAGATGATGATAATGATAGATATGTGGAGGATGATCATGATCCATGCCCAGACTTCAAGCCAGTTGTTCCTCTGCCAGAGAAGGTAGAAGTTAGAACAGGAGAAGAGGATGAGAAGGTAAATCATAACTCATAACTTAATGCATAAAAAAATTAGGATTAATATATTCCCTCCCTCCCCCCCTCTGCTATTTTCTAATCATTGTGTAAAGTTGCTCCCCTAGCATTTTCCCTTCACCTTATTGTTTCACTTTCTAAAGAAAGTTATTTGTATGAAAGAGCTGAATGGGAAACATCTTGCCATCTTGGCTCCCACCTTACCTTCTTTATCTGATTGCCTGGTTGACCTGGCAAACTCATCAAAGGGAAAGGTGCAAGATTTTTGTCATACTACAAAAAACTGCTTTGAGTATGAGTATTGACAGTAGCTATTTGAATAGTGATGGCTGTGTAGTTCTGGCTAGACAATTATTTGATAAATGATTATTGCATTTTTGCAGGTGTTGTTTGAAGAGCGAGCCAAACTCTTCAGATTTATGGAGAAAGAATGGCGGGAGCGTGGCACGGGTGTCATGAAACTGTTGCACAACCCATCTCAGAGGTCTGTCAGGGTGCTCATGAGGAGAGACCAGGTGAGTCAGGCTGGAGATACATCTAGCATAACAAGCTTTCATTAGGACAAAATTTTGGTCTATGGAGTCTTTTTTTTTTTTTTTTTCCTTGAAACATGGCTTAAAAAAAAATTCTTCTTGGAACACAATGTTGTCCCATTAAACACTTGTTCTCCTACCTATGCCCTTCAATCTAATCTAGTCAGTTTAAAGTTTCAGTTGTAAATGTTTAATGAGAATAGCAGCAGTGAAAATTCAGTAAACTCTAAATTTAGCAGATTTCATATATACAGGACAAAAAATGTTGGATCACTTGATTATATTGGTTACAAAACCATTTTTTTTTTTTTTTTTAATGATCACTGCAACATAATTTCACCATTATCCACCACATTCACCATTACTGTCTATCCTCTCCCCATTATTAGTTCATTAAATCTAGGATTTAATGTAAATACTGGTGAAAACTAATTTTTTTTTTTTTTTTAACATGTCAGCAGTTTCCCACTGAGGCAAGGTGACCTAAAAGAAAAAAAAAAACACACAAAAAAAAACTTTCATTGAAGCACTTGCTGACAAGTCTACTCCCAAATATCTGAACACATTCACTTCCTCCATACTCCCTCTTTCCAATCTGATATCCAGTCTTTCAGTACCTAAATTTTTTGTTACCCTCTATCACCTTACTCTTTCCTGTACAGTATTCACTTTTTTTTTTTTTTTTTTTTATGTACCCCACCAACCTTTGCAACTTCTCTTCAGGATCTCCCTAAAGCAGTGTCATCAGCAAAAGTCAACTGACAAGTCTCACTCTGTGTTAGATTCTATACATTTAATCCTGCCTCTCCCCCAACACACTAGTATATACAATTACTACTAATTGTATGTCCCTAATGGCCAGAGCCAAGTTTAAAATGTTATTGTGAGGATACCGTTATTCTACTAAACTTTTTATGGATTCACATTTCCAGACACACAAGATTTGTGCCAACCATCTGGTGACAGCTAATATTGATCTGCAGCCTATGAAAAATAATGATAAAGTCTGGATATGGGCCGCTCAGGTATGTTGATTCATTATTTTCAACTTTTATAACGTATTAACGGAAGGAGGATTAAAAAGGTATTTGACCAGTGGTGGCATAAAAAATTGGACAAGAGAAATTTCATACATGTATTAATGTATTAATGTATTAATGAGTAGTAGGTTGGTAGACAGCAACCACCCAGGGAGGTACTACCGTCCTGCCAAGTGAGTGTAAAACGAAGCCTGTGATTGTTTTACATGATGGTAGGATTGCTGATGTCTTTTGTCTGTCTCATAAATATGCAAGATTACAGGCATGTCTTGCTACTTCTACTTACACTTAGGTCACACTACACATACATGTACACATTTATTTATACACACTCATCTGAGTTTTCTTTGATTTTATCTTAATAGTTCTTGGTCTTATTAATTTTCCTTTTATATCCATGGGGAAGTGGAAAAGAATCTTTCCTCCCGTAAGCCATGCGTGTTGTAAAAGTCAACTAAAATGCCGGGAACAATGGGCTAGTAACCCTTTTCCTGTAAAGATTACTAAAAAGAATAAGAAGAAGAAAATTGTCAAAGTGGGAAGTCTGAATGTGCGTGGATGTTGTGCAGATGATAAGAAAGAGATGATTGTGGATGTTATGAATGAGAAGAAGCTGGATGTCCTGGCTTTAAGTGAAACAAAGCTGAAGGGGGTGGGAGAGTTTCAGTGGAGAGGAATAAATGGGATTAGGTCAGGGGTTTCAAATAGAGTTAGAGCTAAAGAAGGAGTAGCAATAATGTTGAAGGATAAGCTATGGCAGGAAAAGAGGGACTATAAATGTATTAATTCAAGGATTATGTGGAGTAAAATAAAGATTGGATGTGAAAAGTGGGTTATAATAAGCGTGTATGCACCTGGAGAAGAGAGAAGTGTAGAGGAGAGAGAGAGATTTTGGGAAATGTTGAGTGAATGCGTGGGGAGTTTTGAATCAAGTGTGAGAGTAATGGTGGTGGGGGTTTTAATGCTAAAGTGGGTAAAAATGTTATGGAGGGAGTAGTAGGTAAATTTGGGGTGCCAGGGGTAAATGTAAATGGGGAGCCTTTAATTGAGCTATGTGTAGAAAGAAATTTGGTAATAAGTAATACATATTTTATGAAAAAGAGGATAAATAAATATACAAGGTATGATGTAGCACGTAATGAAAGTAGTTTATTAGATTATGTATTGGTGGATAAAAGGTTGATGGGTAGGCTCCAGGATGTACATGTTTATAGAGGGGCAACTGATATATCGGATCATTATTTAGTTGTAGCTACAGTTAGAGTAAGAGGTAGATGGGAAAAGAGGAAGGTGGCAACAACAAGTAAGAGGGAGGTGAAAGTGTATAAACTAAGGGAGGAGGAAGTTCGGGTGAGATATAAGCGACTATTGGCAGAAAGGTGGGCTAGTGCAAAGATGAGTAGTGGGGGGGTTGAAGAGGGTTGGAATAGTTTTAAAAATGCAGTATTAGAATGTGGGGCAGAAGTTTGTGGTTATAGGAGGGTGGGGGCAGGAGGAAAGAGGAGTGATTGGTGGAATGATGAAGTAAAGGGTGTGATAAAAGAGAAAAAGGTAGCTTATGAGAGGTTTTTACAAAGCAGAAGTGTTATAAGAAGAGCAGAGTATATGGAGAGTAAAAGAAAGGTAAAGAGAGTGGTGAGAGAGTGCAAAAGGAGAGCAGATGATAGAGTGGGAGAGGCACTGTCAAGAAATTTTAATGAAAATAGAAAAAATTTTGGAGTGAGTTAAAACAAGTTAAGAAAGCCTAGGGAAAATATGGATTTGTCAGTTAAAAACAGAGTAGGGGAGTTAGTAGATGGGGAGATGGAGGTATTGGGTAGATGGCGAGAATATTTTGAGGAACTTTTAAATGTTAAGGAAGAAACAGAGGCAGTAATTTCATGCACTGGTCAGGGAGGTATACCATCTTTTAGGAGTGAAGAAGAGCAGAATGTAAGTGTGGGGGAGGTACGTGAGGCATTACGTAAAATGAAAGGGGTAAAGCAGCTGGAACTGATGGGATCATGACAGAAATGTTAAAAGCAGGGGGGGATATAGTGTTGGAGTGGTTGGTACTTTTGTTTAATAAATGTATGAAAGAGGGGAAGGTACCTAGGGATTGGCAGAGAGCATGTATAGTCCCTTTATATAAAGGGAAAGGGACAAAAGAGACTGTAAAAATTATAGAGGAATAAGCTTACTGAGTATACCAGGAAAAGTGTACGGTAGGGTTATAATTGAAAGAATTAGAGGTAAGACAGAATGTAGGATTGCGGATGAGCAAGGAGGTTTTTAGAGTGGGTAGGGATGTGTAGATCAGGTGTTTACATTGAAGCATATATGTGAACAGTATTTAGATAAAGATAGGGAAGTTTTTATTGCATTTATGGATTTAGAAAAGGCATATGATAGAGTGGATAGAGGAGCAATGTGGCAGATGTTGCAAGTATATGGAATAGGTGGTAAGTTATTAAATGCTGTAAAGAGTTTTTATGAGGATAGTGAGGCTCAGGTTAGGGTGTGTAGAAGAGAGGGAGACTACTTCCCGGTAAAAGTAGGTCTTAGACAGGGATGTGTAATGTCACCATGGTTGTTTAATATATTTATAGATGGGGTTGTAAAGGAAGTAATGCTAGGGTGTTTGGGAGAGGGGTGGGATTAAATTATGGGGAATCAAATTCAAAATGGGAATTGACACAGTTACTTTTTGCTGATGATACTGTGCTTATGGGAGATTCTAAAGAAAAATTGCAAAGGTTAGTGGATGAGTTTGGGAATGTGTGTAAAGGTAGAAAGTTGAAAGTGAACATAGAAAAGAGTAAGGTGATGAGGGTGTCAAATGATTTAGATAAAAAAAATTGGATATCAAATTGGGAGGAGGAGTATGGAAGAAGTGAATGTTTTCAGATACTTGGGAGTTGACGTGTCGGCGGATGGATTTATGAAGGATGAGGTTAATCATAGAATTGATGAGGGAAAAAAGGTGAGTGGTGCGTTGAGGTATATGTGGAGTCAAAAAACGTTATCTATGGAGGCAAAGAAGGGAATGTATGAAAGTATAGTAGTACCAACACTCTTATATGGGTGTGAAGCTTGGGTGGTAAATGCAGCAGCGAGGAGACGGTTGGAGGCAGCGGAGATGTCCTGTTTAAGGGCAATGTGTGGTGTAAATATTATGCAGAAAATTCGGAGTGTGGAAATTAGGAGAAGGTGTGGAGTTAATAAAAGTATTAGTCAGAGGGCAGAAGAGGGGTTGTTGAGGTGGTTTGGTCATTTAGAGAGAATGGATCACAGTAGAATGACATGGAAAGCATATAAATCTATAGGGGAAGGAAGGCGGGGTAGGGGTCGTCCTCGAAAGGGTTGGAGAGAGGGGGTAAAGGAGGTTTTGTGGGTAAGGGGCTTGGACTTCCAGCAAGCGTGCGTGAGCGTGTTAGATAGGAGTGAATGGAGACGAATGGTACTTGGGACCTGACGATCTGTTGGAGTGTGAGCAGGGTAATATTTAGTGAAGGGGATTCAGGGAAACCGGTTATTTTCATATAGTCGGACTTGAGTCCTGGAAATGGGAAGTACAATGCCTGCACTTTAAAGGAGGGGTTTGGGATATTGGCAGTTTGGAGGGATATGTTGTGTATCTTTATATGTTTATGCTTCTAGACTGTTGTATTCTGAGCACCTCTGCAAAAACAGTGATAATGTGCGAGTGTGGTGAAAGTGTTGAATGATGATGAAAGTATTTTTCTTTTTGGGGATTTTCTTTCTTTTTTGGGTCACCCTGCCTCGGTGGGAGACGGCCGACTTGTTGAAAAAAAAAAAAAAAAATTAATGTTGCTAGAATTACTGACAGTATGTTAGGTAAAAGGACAAAGCTTTTGGAGAGCAAAACGTTGCCACAGTAAAACGTCACATAAATTGCAGTTGTTCTTTTACCTTCATACATGTAGTCAGTCTTGTGAAAATATAGATGACAAGCAGTGAAATGTATGCAGGCCACAAGTGTAGTATGATGGTAAATGTAGGGAGGAAAATTGTAAATGAAATAAATTTCTCCCCAACAGTCAGGTGTGTGATACTTTTCAGTCAATCTGGTGTTCCATTAGCTCGTTCCTTAGTGTGTTAAGTCAGTCTTACTGTCCAGTGCAATCTTGTATTGGAGATATTAGTGAAATTTGGTGGAGTTATGTATAACTGATTATGTCAAACATTCTGATATACAGTATACCAATTCACAGGACTTTGCTGATGAGGAAATTCGCATGGAAAAGTTCTGCTGCCGATTCAAGACTGTAGAAATTGCTAACTGTTTCAAAGAGGCCTTTTTAAAGGCCAAAGCTATTGCTAAAGAAAATGAGGATAATCAAGTACAGCAGGTATGTTTTTACATTATGGTTACACATGCAAAATCTTGATGAATACATATGTTCTTAGAGAAAGGGGAATGAAAGTGGAATATTTTTGAATGGGTAAAGTGAAAGGGTTGGAAAACTTAATATAATGTAGTGCAATCTATGAGTAGAAAGATGACAGATATATTAGTTTGTAGTGGAAATAAGGTTTCCAGTATTAGATAGCCTGAATAAAATAGTTCAACTTAAGTTCTGGAGGTGGAAGGTACACTGCTTGCTTTCTGAAGGATTGATAGAAATGTTGCAGTTCTGAAGATGGTAAGTACAGTGCCTGCACTCTGGAGAATGGGCAGGAATGTTGCTGTTGAGAGGGTTAGTTGTATTGTGATATGCATGTGCCTGTGGTAAGACAGCTATTGAACAAGTGTTGAATGTTTCTTCTTTGGGTCACCCTGCTTATGTGGGGAGTGGCTGAGGTAGATATTTTGCCAATGGAAAACAAGAAAAGGGATTATTTCTTAATGTTTTAAGCCTCTAAATGGTCAGGTGCTTAAGTAAATAATTCATTCTTATTGATCCTGAACATAGGATCTTAATTTGGCCCTCACACCTTACGAAACTGAAATACACTGAAGTAATATGCAAAAGAATGGGAAGTATGAATTTGAAACTGAAAGGTCTATATTTGTTAAAAAAAATATATTGAAGTGATAGTGGTTTATTAAATGGACATTGGAGAAAGTGTGGTTGAAAATTATTTAGCTGTGTATGAATTTTAATGTGTAAAACTGTGATGTGATGAATAACAAGATATTTTGTTTTACTTAAGGATGTAAATGGTATACCTAATGAACCAAGTGATCAGACTGCAGCAGCAGTGGTGTCCACGGTAGCATCATCCAAACCAACATCACTAGCAGAAATGTTCAACCTGCCACCAGGATCTTGGACCTGTCAGACTTGCCTAGTGTCTAACACACATGAGAAAATAGTGTGCCCAGCTTGTGAAACACCCCATCCCAATGCTCCTAAAACAGAAGAACCAACATCTGAATCCAAAACACCATTTGGTAAGCTGTCAACTAATTTATTTTCCATATAATGAATAAGAGGGAGATTAAAAGTAGAAACTTTTAAACTTAAGGAAAGGCAGGTACATAAGTGATTAAGAGTTAGGCTAGAGTTTAGGACCTTCTACAGAAAGCACTGTTTTTACTTATGCATGATCTTCAAATGTTATGCAAAATGCTTAACATAATTTTTTTTTTCCCCTGCTTCTCTAGACCATCAGTCAAGCTTTATCTTATAGACTCGACCTCTTTCTGCAAGCAGTGTACTACAATATATTACACTGCAGAAGAAAGAGACTGCAATTATTGTAATTGATACCAAATAAAACTATGGAAAAAAAAATTTGTGTACAGTTCATGACTGTCATGAACTGTGCACATATATCCTTTTCCCCCAAACTACAGTGAGTCAGGTTGATCAGGCAAGCACCAGACAAGTCTGGCCCAAGGTGGGCTCCGAGAGTAGAAAAACTTTCGGAACTTGTCAAAGGTAAAAGTATGCATAAATAAAGATGCATAAAATATTCACTTAATGTATAATACAAACATTCCATTTTTCTTTTTATTGTTTCACTACTTTATGAAAGTTTTCTGTACTTTTCAGCTTCATTTAAGTTTTCCCCATCAAGTAAGAATGAAGGTGGTACACCCTTGCCTGGTAGCTTCAAGTTTGTTGGAGCACCACCCTTGTCATTAACTGTCAAGAGTACTCCAACCACTGCTGCAACTACAACATGTAAGTTAAGAATAATTACCTGCTTGAGTTTACAGAAGAGGTGAGCTCCAGCTCTTGGTCACACTTAGCCTTCAGTGGACTGAAGTGAATATTTTTAAATTGACAAAATTATATAGTTTTTCACTAATGCACTTGTGGATTTGAATTTTTTTTTTTACAACATACTAGTCATCTCCCAATGAGGTATGTCGTATAAGTCGGAAACAGCACTGGACCTAATACCAATCATTGTGGCATACCATCTGTTAACCCTTTCAGGGTTTCGGCCGTACTAATACGGCTTATGCCCCAGGGTTTTTGACATATTAGTACGCCTATATTCTAGCGCCTTCAAATCTAGTGAGAGAAAGCTGGTAGGCCTACATATGAAAGAATGGGTCTATGTGGTCAGTGTGCGCAGTATAAAAAAAATCCTGCAGCACATGCGTAATGAGAAGAAAACTTTGACCGTGTTTTTGGATTAAAACAGCGACTGCACTGTATTTTCGTATGGTATTTATTGTTGTATTCTAATTTTCCTGGTCTCATTTTATAGAATGGAAGACTTGTTACAGAAATTGAGATGATTTTGACTGGTTTTACAGTGAAAACTACCTTGAAATCGAGCTCAAAGTAGCAGAAATGTTCGATTTTTACCAAAGTTCAAAAGTAAACAAATCATGCCAAGCGTCCAATACACGTCAACTGGTGAGTCTAATATTCTTTTCACAAGTGCGCTGATATTATTTATACCATTTCTACACTAATGCAGTAGTCTGCATAACAGTAAATCTTCTATTTTTTGTAAGAATAAAATTTCAAAGTGGAAAGCAAAAGAAATATAAGAGGGGCCTTGGGATGTGACTGACGAACAGAGAACTTGTTATTTTAGTGCCAGGAATGTCTTTCTTGTTTATTCTGGACTCTATTTGGAAATTGGCATCTTTTGAAATTTGTGTGAAATTGGCAAAATTGCTAAATTCTGACCACTTTATTGGATAGTTGAAATTGGTAAATGGGTGGTTTCTTGTACTCATTCAATAGAAAAAATGGAGTTCTAGCAAAATAGTTATGATTTTTGTCGACTAGCACACTGGAATTGGCTGAAAATAGGGCTCAAAGGGGGCAAAATCGCCGATGTGTAAACATCGTCGAGACCACTAACTTCACAAGAGCATAATTCCGTAAGTTTTCCATCAAATTTCATACTTTTGGTGTCATTATGATCGGGAAAAGATTCTCTATCTTTTCACAAGAAAAAAATAATTTTTTTTTTTTTTTTAAATTGGGGACCCTGAGAACAAGTCTCGGAGAGGGCCTGGCGACCCTGAAAGGGTTAATCTTCCTCATTCTGACATCTCTTCCTAGACACTCGCTTTGCTTCCTTCCTTATGGTCTTCCTCGTTTTACTGGAGTATGTTCCCAGTTATTCCTGCCTCCTTTTAAAGTTTTTCATTCCCACCAGGAATACCCACTAGTCTCTACCAGTATAACCTGCATTGGCAAGAATTTAATTGAAACTGTTAACATATAAAGCTATTAAATTTAATGAACTGAAGTATATTGCTGATATACTTGAACCTTTTACACTGACTTCTGGAATGTTTCTACAAATTGTTGTGAACCCTTCCAGACTGATCACGCCTTGGGCTGTTGGGGATATCATTTGCAGAAAGGGCCTTTCCTTATGTAGCTACCAGACTATATAACAGATTGTTGTATCTGTGGATTACAAAAGTCTTTCCACCTCCTTCCCTCCCCTCTTCCTCAGTGGCTGTCTCCTGCCAAGATTGAATGACCCAAAGAAAACATTCACCAACCTTCATTCAATTACCATTTTTCCAGAAGTGTACTGACAATACACAATCAAATTGTCAGACTGCAACATCCTCACCCCTCCTTCAAAGTGCAGGCACAATTATTATTTATTAATTTCGTTAGTACTCTGAAGGAAAAAGTTGAATTATACTAATATATCTCAGGAGCAAGCCAGTTTTTTTTTTTTATATATAGGTAGTAGGTTGGTAGACAGCAACCACCCAGGGAGGTACTACCGTCCTGCCAAGTGAGTGTAAAACGAAAGCCTGTGATTGTTTTACATGATGGTAGGATTGCTGGTGTCTTTTGTCTGTCTCATAAATATGCAAGATTACAGGCATGTCTTGCTACTTCTACTTACACTTAGGTCACACTATACATACAGTACACATTATTTATACACACCATCTGAGTTTTCTTTATTTTATCTTAATAGTTCTTGGTCTTATTAATTTTCCTTTTATATCCATGGGGAAGTGGAATAAGAAATCTTTCCTCCGTAAGCCATGCTGTTGTAAAAAGTCAACTAAAATGCCGGGAACAATGGGCTAGTAACCCCTTTTCCTGTAAAGATACTAAAAAGAATAAGAAGAAGAAAAATTTTCAAAGTGGGAAGTCTGAATGTGCGTGGATGTTTTTGCAATGATAAGAAAGAGATGATTGTGGATTTATGAATGAGAAGAAGCTGGATTTTCCCGGCTTTAAGTGAAACAAAGCGAAGGGGGTGGGGGAGTTTCAGTGGAGAGGAATAAATGGGATTAGGTCAGGGGTTTCAAATAGAGTTAGAGCTAAAGAAGGGGTAGCAATAATGTTGAAGGATAAGCTATGGCAGGAAAGGGACTACAAATGTATAAATTCAAGGATTAGTGGAGTAAAATAAAGATTGGATGTGAAAAGTGGGTTATAATAAGCGTGTATGCACCTGGAGAAGAGAGAAGTGTAGAGGAAGAGAGAGATTTTGGGAAAATGTTGAGTGAATGCGTGGGGAGTTTTTGAATCAAGTGTGAGAGTAATGGTGGTTGGGGATTTCAATGCTAAAGTGGGTAAAAATTTATGGGGGGGATAGTGGGAAAAAATTTGGGTGCCAGGGTAAAGTAAATGGGGACCCTTTTAAATTGAGCATGTAGAAAAAAATTTTGGAAATAAGTAAAACTTTTTTTAAAAAAAGAGGAAAATAAATATACAAGGTTGATGTACACGAAAAGAAAGTAGTTTATTAGATTATGTTTTGGTGGAAAAAAGGGTTGATGGTAGGCCCGGGATGTACATGTTTAAGGGGGGGCAACTGATAATGGGATCTTTTTTAGTTGTAGCTAAGTTAGAGTAAGGGGTGAGGGGAAAAGGGGGAAGGTGGCAACAACAAGTAAAGGGAGGTGAAAGTGTATAAACTAAGGGAGGGGGAATTCGGGTGAGATATAAGGACTTTTGGGCAAAAGGGGGCTAGTGCAAAGATGAGTTGGGGGTTGAAGAGGGTTGAAAGTTTTAAAAATGCGTTTTAAATTGGGGGGCAAAATTTGTGGTTATAGGGGGTGGGCGCAGGGGAAAAGGATGTTTTGGGGAATGATGAAGTAAGGGGTAAAAAAGAGAAAAAGGTAGTTTATAGGGGTTTTTTTACAAAGCAGAAGTGTTAAAAAGAAGAGCAGAGTATAGGGAAAGGTAAAAAAAGGTAAAGAGAGTGGTGAGAGAGTGAAAAAGGAGAGAAATGATAGAGGGGAGGGCCTGAAGAAATTTTATGAAAAAAAGAAAAAATTTTGGAGTGAGTTAAACAAGTTAAGAAAGCCTGGGGGAAAATTGGATTTGCAGTTAAAAACAGAGTAGGGAGTTATAGATGGGGAGATGGAGGTATTGGTAGATGGCAGAATATTTGAGGAACTTTTTAAAAGTTTAAGGAAGAAACAGAGGGGATAATTTCATGCATGGGTCGGGGAGGTTTTCCACCCTTTTTAGGAGTGAAGAAGAGCAGAATGAAAATGGGGGGGGGGTATTTGGGGGGCATTACGAAAAAATGAAAAAAAGGGGGGGTTAAAGGGAAACGGGGGAACTGATGGGTCATGACAGAAATGTTAAAAGAAAGGGGGGGGGAATTAGTTTTGGGGAGTGGTTGGAAAATTTTTTGTTTAATAAATGTATAAAAAGGGGGGAAGGTCCCTTGGGGAAATTGGCGGAGGGGCAGGAAAATAGTCCCTTTATTTAAAGGGAAAGGGGGAAAAAAGAGATTTTAAAAATTATAGAGGAATAAGTTATTGGTATCCCGGGAAAAGTGTAGGGTTTAGGGTTAAAATTTGAAAGAATTAAGGTAAGAAAATTTTTGGATTGCGGATGAGAAAGGGGGGGGTTTCAGAGTGGGGGGGGATTTTGTTGTTTCAAGTTTACTTTGAAGCATATATGTAAAACATATTTAGAAAAAGGTAGGGAAGTTTTTTTTGCTTTTATGGTTTTTAAAAAAAGGCATATGTAGAGGGGGATAGGGAGCAATGGGGCCGATGTTCCCAATTATATGGAATAGGTGGTAAATTATTTAAAAGCGTAAAGAGTTTTTATGAGGATAGTGAGGTCAGGTTAGGGGGTGAAAAAGAGAGGGGACTACTTCCCGGGAAAAGTAGGTCTTAGACAGGGGTGTGTAATTTTCACCATGGTTTGTTTTTTTATATTTATAGATGGGGGGTTTTAAAAGGAAATAAAAAAGCTAGGGTGTTCGGGAGAGGGGGGATTAAATTTTGGGGAATCCAAAATTTAAAAAGGGGAATTTACAAGTTACTTTTTGCTGATGATACTGTTTATGGGAGATTCTAAAGAAAAATTGCAAAGGTTATGGGGTGATTTTGGGGAAAGTGTGTAAGGTAGGAAAATTGAAAGGAACATAGAAAAAGAGTAAAGGGGTTTAGGGGGGTTTAAATTTATTTAGATAAAGAAAAAAATTGGGGTATCAAATTGGGGAGGAGGAGTATGGAAGGGAAGTGAATGTTTTCAGTTTTTGGGATTTTTACGTTTTCCCGGGGGATGGTTTATGAAGGATGAGGGTTTAAACATAGAATTGATGAGGGGGAAAAAAGGGGGGAGTGGTGCTTTGAGGTATATGTGGACAAAAAAGTTTATTATGGGAAAGGGAAAGAAGGGAATGTATGAAAGTATAGTATACCAACACTCTTATATGGGTGTGAAGCGGGGGTGGTAAATGCATAGGGGGGAACGGTTGGGGCAGTGAATGTCCTTTTTAAGGGCAATGTGTGGTGAAAATATTTTACAGAAAATTCGGAGTGGGGGAAATTAGGAAAGGTGGGGATTTAAAAAAAGTATTAGTCAGAGGGCAGAAGGGGGGTTGTTGGGGGTTTTGGTCATTTAGAGAGAATGGATCAAAGTAAATGAAGGGAAAAGCATATAAACTAAGGGGGGAAGGGCGGGGTGGGGGCGCCCTCGAAAGGGTTGGAGAGAGGGGGTAAAGGGGGTTTTTGTGGGAAAGGGGGGCTTGGACTTCCACAACGGCGTGAGCGTGTTAGATAGGATAATGGAGACGAATGGTATTTGGGGCCCCTGCGACTGTTGGAGTGTGAGCAGGGTAATATTTAGTGAAAGGGGTTTAGGGGAAAACCGGTTATTTTCATATGTCGGATTTAGTCCCGGAAAAGGGAAGTACAAAAGCCTGCACTTTAAAGAGGGGGTTTTGGGGTATTGGAGTTTGGGGGGGATATGTTGTGATCTTCTATGTGTAGCTTCTAGACTTTGTAAATTTTGAGCAACCTCTGCAAAAAAATGATAATGTTGCATGTGGTGAAAGGTTGAAAGATGATGAAATATTTTCTTTTTGGGGGTTTTTTTTTTTTTTTTTGGGTCACCCTCCTCGGGGGGAGAAAGGCCGAATTTTTTGAAAAAAAAAAAAAAAAAAAAAAAAAAAAAAAAAAAAAATATAACAAAGCCGTTTCCCACCGAGGCGGTTTTTACACAAATTTACCCTGGGTCACTACACTGCTTACAGTAGTTAATTATTGTTACAAAAGATGTATGGAGGGGAATGGGGACGGATTATTTGGGACCTGACGATCTTTGGAGTGTAGCAGGGGTTTATTTAGTAAAAAATTCAGGGAAACCGGGGTTTTTTTTTAATAGCCGGGCTTGAGTCTTTTAAATGGGGAAATACAATCTTTCACTTAAAGGAGGGTTCGGGGAAATTAGCAGTTTGGAGGGATATGTTGTGATCTTTTTACGTATATGCTTCTAAACTGTTGTGTTCTGAGCACCTCTGCAAAAACAGTGATTATGTATGAGTGAGGTGAAAGTGTTGAATGATGATGAAAGTATTTTCTTTTTGGGGATTTTCTTTCTTTTTAGGTCACCCTGCCTCGGTGGGAGACGGCCGACTTGTTAAAAAAAAAAAAAAAGAGGGTGTATGCTGTATGCAAATCATATAAGGTTACAACTTCATTTTAAATTCTGCATTGATATGGCTGGTAATTTTTGTATACTTTTTCAGTTGGATTCAAGTTTGGGCTCAATATCACCTCGACAACCTGTACTACACCTTCAGCCAGTGTTGTGGCTTCTGCCACTCCAACCACAGTAGTTTCCATTGTGCCAGCCTCCACTGCTACCTCCTTACCCACATTGACCACATCTGATACTTCAAAGGAAGGTGGAAAGCAGACTTTCCATGGCTTCACATTCACCACCACTCCTTCCTTCAAACCAGAGAAGGCAGAGGAGGATCAGCCAAAGCCCCAAGAGGATGAGGACACAAAGAAAGACGAGGAAAAGAAGAAATCAATTTTTGCTGGATTTTCATTTGGATCAAGTGCAGTTAATTCTGCAAGTACAGGTTTTGCCTTCAGTACATCTAAAGTGGATACCAAGAAGGAAGAAGATAAAACTAGTAAGTGATAAGAAATAAAAAATTACATTGAACTACAATAACCTTGAAAACGTGTGGTTAAATGCAATGTATTACTGCTTTCACTGATTTACATTACATAGTATTTGTGAAGATTGAGACGCTTATGCAACATACGGGAATCTCTATTGAGGAAACGTTTTGCCACAGTGGCTTCATCAGTCCTATACAAATCAGAAGGGTGTAAGGAAAGGAGGAGTTTGAGGTAATCAGTCCCTCAGCCTGGAGTCGATGTGTTCAGTCCATCAATCTTGTAGACCGTACAGCATAGGGCCATAGACTTAACACATCGACTCCAGGCTGAGGGACTGGTTACCTCAAACTCCTCTCCTTACACCCTTCTGATTTGTATTGGACTGTTGAAGCCACTGTGGGGCAAAACGTTTCCTCCATAAAGATTCCCATAGGTTCGCATAGGTATCTCAATCTTCAGCTTGTTGGTTTTTTAAACCATTTATCACATAGTATTTATATATTAAATTTTAGTATCCCTTCATTTGTTCAATTTATCAGTCTTATAAAGATTGTCATTTTCATATCTTGCTTTGCATAGGGTCTTTGCGTTATTCTAATGTATTTAGATTATTCTTTCTGGCAAGTCACTTGAAAACTTATGTTCTAGCATTTCATAACTGAAAGTGGAGAAACAAAAATAGCTGATTTTATTTAACATATCAGCCATCTCACACCAAGGTAGGGTTACCCAGAGAAAAGGAAGCTTTCACTCATTCACTCAGTCACACTTATTTCTTCTTATATTTATATTGATTGTATGTTGTCCATTTGAGACTTGTTATTTAATCCCCTATATATATTTTCTTTTTGTAGATGTAACATCAAATACTGGAAGCCTATTTGGCAATACAGCATCTGGAACCATGCTGTCCTTTGCAAGTCTGGCCAACACCACCTCATCACCATCTAGTTTATTCACTACGAAGACAACAGACGCAGTAAGTTGCATATCAGCTCTTCGCTACTACTTGTACGTTAGTGCTTGAAGATATTTATCCTTACTGGTTTTGTTGTTGAATTGGGTGCCTTATGGAGGCAAAAAGGAGTATATATCATGGTATAATGGTATGAGCTCCTATACGAATACTAGGCATGGGCTGTAAATGTTACGGCAAAGATGAGGCTGGAGGTAACAGAAATGTCATGTTTGAGATCATGTGTGGGGACTGTTATGCAGAAAATTTTGAGTATAGTAATTAGAAGACTGTAGAGGCTGGGGTGTTGCTGAGGGAGGTTTGGGCATTTAAAGAGGATGGGGCAAAATATGATGGTTTTCGATCCAGGGTGGAAGAAAGGATAGGGGCCATTCCAGGAACAGTTCGAAATAGGGGTAAAAAAAAAAAAAAGATTCTGAAGACTAGGGGGCTTGATTATCCAGCAGGCTTGTGCAAGTGTATTAAATCAGAGTGGAGAAAAGTGGTGTTTAATGAAAATGCTGTTAGTGTGAGCAAGGTAAGATTTTGAATGATTTCAGGGAAAACCTGTTAGCATGACTTTAGTCCTGGAGATAGGAAGAGCAGTGCCTGCACACTGAAGGAGATCTAGAGAGGTTAGTCAGTCAGGTGACTTGTGATATTGGCACTTACCAAGACAATGATATTTTTTGGGGGGGATTGATCTACCTTAGTGGGAATAGACACTTGCCATAGCATGTTTTTGTTTTTTACTCCTGCAGATGGTACCAAAGGCAGTATTTGGTAGTTCCCCTACAGGAATCAAGTTACCATCCAAGGATTACAGTGAAGACAAGGTAGAAGAGTACGAACCCCAAGTGGACTTCCCCCCCGGGTGATTCCCTGCTGACGGGTAAGATAAAGACGGGTACGATGCAAACCCCTCCCTTCTTTTCCCAACAAGGGTCTTTTTACCCTTTTCCTTGCCTCTTTTTCTCCCCTAAATTTTTCTTACCCTCTCCCCCCCCTTTTGTCTTTTCCCTTTATTCTCTTTTACCTCCCCTCCCCTCTATTCTTCCCTCCTCCCCCCCTTTTTAACCTTTCTCTTTTTTTCTTTGCTTTTCTTACTTTTTTCTCCCCTTTTCCCTTTTCCCTTTCCCTTCCCTTCTCTGTCATATCTCCTTTCTTTTCCATACTTTTTCCTCCTCTCTGCTCCCCTCTTCTGTACTCTCCTCTCTCCTTTTTCTTGTTTTCCCTTTTCACCCCTTTTTCCTCCCCCAGCCCCTTTTCCCCACCCCTTTTCCCTTTGTCTTCCCTCTCATTCCTTCCTGTCTTGATTCCTCCCTTTCTTTCTATCCCCTTTACATACCCCTTTTTCTCTTCTAAATCCATACTGTTTCTCAGTCATATTTTGCTTTTTATTAATTTTAATATAAAAAAATTTCCCTTGTACTTGCTATACTCATCATTTTAAAATCCCAATTTTTTTCCTCACTTTTTCCCAGTCCTCTTTTAAAAGGGAACTTTATAAGCTCTGCCAAGCTTGGATACCCACCATTCATTTACTTTTTTCACATTTTATTTTTATTTTATACAAGTCATCTCCCACAGAAGGGGGCCCAAAAAAAAAATTAAATTTTTCTCATCATTCCATAGCTGTTTTGCACAAGTGAGTGGACACACGTTCAAATGACCCTTCTTCAGGCAGGCCCTGACTATGCCCTTCCCCCCTCTAAACTCGGCCCTCACTAGCTGATTTTTTTTTTTTTTTTTTTCAACAAGTCGGCCGCTCCCCCCCGAACAGGGTGACCCAAAAAGAAAGAAAAAACCCCAAAAAAAAAATCTTTCATCATCATTCAACCTTTACCTCACTCCACATATCACTTTTTTTTGCAGGGGGCTCAAACACAACGTTGAACATATACGTATAAAGATACACAACATATCCCTCCAAACGTTAAATCCCAAAACCCCCCCTTTTAGAGTGCAGGCATTGTACCCCCCTTTGAAATTTCCCATTCATATGCGCTTTTTCATCCTTTTTCTTTCCCTTTACTGTTTCAACAGATAAATTGGTCATTTTCTTTTTTGCCCCAAACTTGGAAATTTTTTTCATCTTTATTTTTATTAAAAAAATTTCAGTATTGTATGCAACACCAACGTGTTTTTCTTTATTTGATTCCATCGTTTTTGTTTTTTCTTTACTTTTTACAAAATATTTTTCTTATTAATTTTGCATTTTTGAAAATTTTTGTTTTAAATTTTCAAAAAAAGGGGTTAAAGAAAAAGAGAAATTATTTTTTAACGGCAAAATTGTTCAGATAAAGAAAAAGAGTCAAAGAGTGGAAGGAACGAGGTGTTGGGAACTCAAGACCTGAAGATAATTCGTCAGGGGAAATTTGTATAAAACAAAAGGTGCACAATGGAAATTTCTCATTAGTCCCCTTTTTTTTTTTTAATTTCCCCCCTGGGGGTTAGTCATTTTGCCACCTTTACGTAAAAGTTTCAATTCATCCTAAATATTTTTCCATGGTAGAGACCATCATTAAGTCTGATTTCTAAAATGGGAACTCTGGGGGTTTTACTGTCATGTTTCTTTAGTCTTCCATTGGTTCCCATTTTCTGTTTTTGATTTAAAAAGTACTTGCCTTTTTTACTATTTTTGTTAGTGTGACACAATTGGTATAATTTAGTTACTTGACTTTTTATTAACCTAAAATTTTCTTTAATGTATGAAAGGAATGGGATAAAAGGGCAGGGTTGGAAAGTTTTCAGGTTAATTTTAATAATGGTTTTGCAATTACTTGTAATTTAAACACCGTTTTCACAAAAAATAGTGAAAGATTTTTTTTTCGATTTGCCCTTCCTCGTGGGAGATAGCCTTACTTTAAAATTTTACTGATGTGACTTTAAAATTTATACCTTGAACCCCAAGGAAACTAGCCACAGGGCCCGGCTTCAGGGGAAAAAAACTTCCCAAACCCCCAATCACAGATAGGTATCTTTTACTTCTTTTTTTTTAGATATCCTGAGGGCTTGATTTTTATTAGCTCTGCAGTCTCCATTTTTTTTTTTTTTTAACAAGTCGGGGCCCTTTTCCCACCGAGCGGGGGGACCCAAAAAAGAAAGAAAACCCCAAAAAGAAAAACTTTTTCATCATTCAACATTCACCACACTCACACATTTCACTGTTTTTTTCAGGGTCTCAAATACACAGTTTAGAAGCATACACATATAAAATACACAACATATCCCCCCAAAAATCCAAATCCAAACCCCTCCTTTAAAGTGCAGGGTTTTACTTCCCATTTCCAGACTCAAGTTGACTATATGAAAATAACGGTTTCCCTGAATCCCTTCACTAAATATTACCCCCGTCACACTCCAACAGACCTTTTTAATTTTGTTATTTTATAGGAAGGTCACCCCTACGGGGCATCTATAACAGAAGGGTAGGGGGAAAATTTGGGATGATCTAAGGGGGGGGAAGCCCCCAATTCCTTGCATTATTCCTTGCCCGTTTTGGACCTTTCTTTCAAAAAACCTGTTTTGTCTACATTGGAACATTTTTGTAGTGATTGTTTACATCTATTCATTCCTCTGGGGACAAAAATTTTTAAACCCATTTCCCTTTTTAGATGGGTCAGGCACAAGGGTAAGAAAAACTACTTGGTTGCGTAACAGATGTCATCTCGGCTCCATAAACATGAACATTGTGCTACAGACGTATACTATGTATACACTGGCTACCTAGCCATCTTGTGTTAATGTGACTTGTAAATGGTCCGAGTCGGACTGAAACGTCATAAGCATTTCTCTCCTATGTCTAGGTTTTGTGTAATGACAATTCATTAGGTCAAAAATTAATTCATAATTAAATATTGCTTACATTCTTCTGTTGGAAAGATGAATGTAAGAATGCATTACTAAAAATATTATTCGTTTTGGCAGGTACGTATTTTGATGCGTCGTGAACAGATTCTAAAGGTGTGTGCCAATCATTTCTTGACACCGGAGATGAAACTTGCTCCAATGGCGACATCAGATAAGGCCTGGATATGGGCTGCACATGACTTTGCTGATCAAGAAATGAAAGAAGAAAGATTTGCAGCAAGGTTCAAAACACAAGAGTCTGTGAGTATTTAATACTTTCATACTAACTTTTATTCTAACATGTTAATGTACAAATAACTAAAGTGTAAAGAACACTTGTCAGTGATCAGTAATATCCCACATGGGAACACATAGGTTGATTGAACTGTATATTTCGACTGGACTTGATTCCTGGAGATGGGAAGTACAGTGCTGGCACTCTGAGGAGGGGTGTTAATGTTGCAGTTTTATAACTAAGTATAGCATAGGGCACTTCTGGCAAGACAGTCATGGAGTGAATGATGAAAGTTTTTCTTTTTCGGGCCACCCTGCCTTGGTGGGAAACAGCCGATGTGTTAATAGAATAGAATAGAATAGATTTCGACCCCCTTCTGGGATCCTCTTCAGCAGATACACAAGTAAAAAGAGAACATAAATTTATAGTAAAAGTTGCACCTCACCATGCGTGGGAGGATGGGTTCTCCCACACACTTCCTTGACACTCTCTACTCCCACACACGGTCAGAGGTGCAACTTCCTAAATTCATGTTCTCTCTTCACTTTTGTATATGCTGAAGAGGTTCCTAGAAGGGAGTCAAAATATACAGATCAGTCAACCTCCTGTGTTTCTCCATGTGGGTTATTATTATTTTATTATTATTATTATCACACCGGCCGATTCCCACCAAGGCAGGGTGGCCCGAAAAAGAAAAACTTTCACCATCATTCACTCCATCACTGTCTTGCCAGAAGGGTGCTTTACACTACAGTTTTTAAACTGCAACATTAACACCCCTCCTTCAGAGTGCAGGCACTGTACTTCCCATCTCCAGGACTCAAGTCCGGCCTGCCGGTTTCCCTGAATCCCTTCATAAATGTTACTTTGCTCACACTCCAACAGCACGTCAAGTATTAAAAACCATTTGTCTCCATTCACTCCTATCAAACACGCTCACGCATGCCTGCTGGAAGTCCAAGCCCCTCGCACACAAAACCTCCTTTACCCCCTCCCTCCAACCCTTCCTAGGCCGACCCCTACCCCGCCTTCCTTCCACTACAGACTGATACACTCTTGAAGTCATTCTGTTTCGCTCCATTCTCTCTACATGTCCGAACCACCTCAACAACCCTTCCTCAGCCCTCTGGACAACAGTTTTGGTAATCCCGCACCTCCTCCTAACTTCCAAACTACGAATTCTCTGCATTATATTCACACCACACATTGCCTCAGACATGACATCTCCACTGCCTCCAGCCTTCTCCTCGCTGCAACATTCATCACCCACGCTTCACACCCATATAAGAGCGTTGGTAAAACTAACTCTCATACATTCCCCTCTTTGCCTCCAAGGACAAAGTTCTTTGTCTCCACAGACTCCTAAGTGCACCACTCACTCTTTTTCCCTCATCAATTCTATGATTCACCTCATCTTTCATAGACCCATCCGCTGACACGTCCACTCCCAAATATCTGAATACGTTCACCTCCTCCATACTCTCTCCCTCCAATCTGATATTCAATCTTTCATCACCTAATCTTTTTGTTATCCTCATAACCTTACTCTTCCTGTATTCACCTTTAATTTTCTTCTTTTGCACACCCTACCAAATTCATCCACCAATCTCTGCAACTTCTCTTCAGAATCTCCCAAGAGCACAGTGTCATCAGCAAAGAGCAGCTGTGACAACTCCCACTTTGTGTGTGATTCTTTATCTTTTAACTCCACGCCTTTGCCAAGACCCTCGCATTTACTTCTCTTACAACCCCATCTATAAATATATTAAACAACCACGGTGACATCACACATCCTTGTCTAAGGCCTACTTTTACTGGGAAAAAATTTCCCTCTTTCCTACATACTCTAACTTGAGCCTCACTATCCTCGTAAAAACTCTTCACTGCTTTCAGTAACCTACCTCCTACACCATACACTTGCAACATCTGCCACATTGCCCCCCTATCCACCCTGTCATACGCCTTTTCCAAATCCATAAATGCCACAAAGACCTCTTTAGCCTTATCTAAATACTGTTCACTTATATGTTTCACTGTAAACACCTGGTCCACACACCCCCTACCTTTCCTAAAGCCTCCTTGTTCATCTGCTATCCTATTCTCCGTCTTACTCTTAATTCTTTCAATTATAACTCTACCATACACTTTACCAGGTACACTCAACAGACTTTATTTATTTTATTTTTTTTTATTATCACACCGGCCGATTCCCACCAAGGCAGGGTGGCCCGAAAAAGAAAAACTTTCACCATCATTCACTCCATCACTGTCTTGCCAGAAGGGTGCTTTACACTACAGTTTTTAAACTGCAACATTAACACCAACAGACTTATCCCCCTATAATTTTTGCACTCTCTTTTATCCCCTTTGCCTTTATACAAGGCAAAGGGGATAAAAGAGAGTGCAATTATGGGTTATTATTAATCATATTAATGTGTATTTACCTAAAAGTGTTTGTTGAGCTCCTCCACCTAGTCCCACTTCATAATCTTCCATCACCTGTTATCTAAATTCCAATATTTGTTTGACAGAATAAAAACTTGTTCTATATAAATGTCTGTATTATTACTTGTTGATTTCCACAGCATCAGTAGTAATGCTAACTAAAATTCTTAGTGATATTTATTAAAAAAGTCCTTGGTTTATGTACACATTAATAATTATCTCATTGTTATTATTTCCTTAGGCACTTGCTTTTAAGGAGGCATTTGAAAAAGCCCAGCAGTCCCTGAGTATCTCATCAATATCAGAACCAGTACCAAGTGCTCCAACATCTACATCACAGGAGACAGTCGCTTCTACAACTACATCCCTGGTAGCCATGTTCAAACCGGCTGCTGGATCATGGGAATGTCAGACATGTTTGGTGCGTAACAATGCAACAGAAAACATGTGTGTTTCATGTAGTACATGCAAGCCTGGTTATGAAGCACCCAAGGAAAATGTAACTAAATTTAACTTTACAATTATGACAGAAGAAAATCAGAAAAACTTGGCTGATTCTCAAGAGAAGATCAGTGATACAAAGCAGTCTCTAGCTGGAATGTTTAAACCACCAGCTGGATCTTGGGAGTGCAACAGCTGTTTAGTTCGTAATAAAGAAACATCCACTAAATGTATTGCCTGTGGAACTAATGGTCCTACCGCTCTTATTGAAAATAAGCCAGCGTGTTCCTTTGGCATAAAGAAAAGTGATGGAGTAGCCCCAACTGCAGTGTCAGCCAGTGGTGGATTTGGTTTTGGCATCACAGAGAGCAAACCAGCTTTCTCTTTCGGCATTCCACAGAATACGAGCCTAACGTCAACTGCAGCTTCTCAGTCAGCATTTACATTTGGTGCCCCAAACAAGTCCACCCAAGAGATCACAGCCACATCTCAAAGCAAACCTGCATTTTCATTTGGAACTTCAAGTAACCAGTCAAATAAGCCATTTAGTTTCACCTGGCAGCCAATAACGACAGCAGCAAGTGTAGACTCGTCCACTTCCTCTTCTTCAACCACCTCTTCTACCTTTTCATCTACTTTCTCCTCATCTTTGCCTGTGGCAATACCCAAAGAGTCTCTTGAAAAACCTTCTACTCCAACAAAGGATGAAAAGTCTGGATTTGTTTTTGGTAGCCCAGGAAAATATGAGTTCTCCTTTGCTGGAATTAAAGCCAAATCTCCACGATCTAGAGATATAAGTCTGTGTGAATCTGAAGATGGTGTTGTGGAAGAGGATGACGGAGATCATCTGTATTTTGAGGCAAGTTAGACGTTTGACTCGGTTAGAAATATTTACATGACAATTATCTAATCATAGAAAAATGTTAATTGCATATGCATTATATAAAGAATATTTGAATAAAAATTGAAGTTTTAAGATCAAAGTGAATATAGGTCCTTAGTGGAATTAATTTATAGCAGTCTGTGCATTTATATTAATGAAACATGGTTTGTGTTCACAAAATTAATGAATACCAAGCTGCAAATAATTTTAATGTGCATTTGTTTTACTGGGTATTAATGCTACTTTTCTCCATTCATGCAGCCAGTTGTACCCCTGCCGGAGAAAGTGGAGGTGGTGACAGGTGAAGAAGAAGAAGATATTCTTTATGCTCACCGTGCTAAACTGTTCCGCCTGGTCTGTGGAGAATGGAAGGAGAGGGGTCTTGGGGATATAAAGATCCTCAGCCATAAACAGGTACACATTTCAGTGCTTTTACAGGTGCTTCTCAACTTATGATGGAGTTACATTCCAATGAACCCATAGTAAGTCAAATATAAATGTGATAAATAAATGTCACTGAATAGGTAAATAAATAGCTAACTGCCAGTATTGAAAAGTAAGTAAATGAATACAAGTTTATCCTGTCAGTACGTCTACAGTACTGAATGCGCATCGCCGTTGCACCATCGTCAAGTTAAAATATCATAAAGTGAGGAGTGTATGTACTGTATTAAGCTTAATTTTCTGGAATACCTTAAGTAAGGTGTAGTTTTATTTTACATGTCTCAGACATTACCTTGAAGATCTCACTTTCTCTCAGGCTTGTAAGATAAGACTTCTGATGCGACGAGAACAAGTTCACAAGATCTGTCTGAATCACTGCTTGACTAAAGACATGGAGTTCCGCAAGAAAGATGACAAAACTTTCTACTGGGCAGCATTAGATTATTCTGAAAGTTGTCCTCAGAATGAAACATTTGCCATTCGCTTTAAAACTCCTGAGATTGCTTCAGACTTTATTAATGCCATTGATGGTGCTAAGGTAAGTTTTTTTATTTTATTAATATTTTGATCAGATGTTATATTCCGTGTCCAGTGTTTTTTATAGGTTGAAGTCAGACATGATGGCTTATGTGAATTAGCTATCTCGTTCCTCTGTAAATTTTAAAAATCCTAATTTTTGGGCAGGGAACCATTTAAGTGCATACTTTTTTGTCTATCATTATAGGATGATTAAGAAATTGACTCCTAATGACTGTTGTCATCCACTTCATTAACTGTCTTGCCAGAAGTGTGCAGTAATTAAGTTATAAATGACCATTTGAACTACGACATCCTTGCCCTTCTGAGTGCTGGCGCTATACTTTCCTTCAGGACTCGAGTCGTGCTAACCAGTTTCCATGAATCCATTCACAAAGGCTCTAAGAAACTGTAATAACACTGTGGAAAAAGACACTTATGTACAGTTCAGGACATTTATTAAAGGAAACGTTTCGCCACGAGTGGCTTCATTAGGACTGAAGAAGCCACTCGTGGCGAAACGTTTCCTTTAATAAATGTCCTGAACTGTACATAAGTGTCTTTTTCCACATCTTGTCGGTATCACTATACCATTTCCTGTAATAACACTATTGCAAACCGCTCGTAATTTTCTTGCCATGAGATCTATTCCCCACGTGTACTGTGGTTTTTTTTCCCCTCGTAAATGTTACCTTGTTCACACCAACAGCACATAAAGCCACTTGCCTCTACCCCAGTCAGCATGATTTCACAAGCCTGTTGGATGCTCATGCCCCTAGCACTCAAAAATTTTTTTTAACCCTCTCTCTCCAGCTCTTCCTGAGATGATTCCTAGCCTTCCTTCTATAAAAAATTTTTTTAACCCTCTCTCTCCAGCTCTTCCTGAGATGATTCCTAGCCTTCCTTCTATCCCAAATTTATACACTATCTTAGTCATCCTATTTTGTTCTATCCTCTAAATATCCAGACCACCTCAACCCCTCTGACTTGTATCATTAGAAAGCTCGCATCTTCTGATTCGTATGCTCAGAATTCTTTACGCAGTCTTCACTCCACAAATCACCCTCGAACATAACATCCCCACTTCATCCAGCCTCCTCCTGGCTGCAGTGCTTAAAGGTCTTACCTCACCCATATAACAGTGTGGGTACCATCATACTCAGGTACATTCCATTTTTGCCTCCATAGTTTTTTCTCTATAAATTCCTTAACACACCACCCAACTTTTTACCCCCTCGGCTTTTGTAGATGCATTTGCCGATTAGTCCAAGGAACACCAGAGTACATTAGTCTCTATACGCAGGTAGGTTTTCAGTTCCACCTAATGCATTATATACTAATGCCACATCCCAAATCATATTTGGACCACATCTTCTATTTGACTTTTTGCCTACTATGTGGTACATATTTAGGAAATGAAAGGGGAGGTGAGAAGGGTGTTTTAAACGGTAGAGTAACATGCATGACGGTATTAAGTAAATCAGTTAGCTGAACTTTCATTCTGGAGGTTGAAGTACAGCCCCTGCACTCAACCATCTTCTTAGTTAGGCAATTACTAGAACAAATATGTACAGTACAGTGGACCCCTGCATAACGATATTATTTCAACCCAGAAGTCTGTTCAGGTGCCGTTATAGACCAAATTTGTTCCCATAAGACATATTGTAAATTAGATTAGTCTGTTTCAGACCCCCAAAAATACACATACAAAAGCACTTACAAAAATACACTTACATAATTGGTCGAGTTGGGAGCTGAACGTTATGCGGGGGTCCACTGTATTTTAAAAATAAGTAGAAATGGTTATTTAGTGATTGTAATGGAATTGCTTCTCTTCCTCTCCTCTCCCTTCCCTTCCTTTCTCCCTCTCACCCTCACTCTCAACCCCTCCTTTCTGTAGCTGTTAGAAGAGGGTGGGCATGATTTATAGTACTCTATACTGCAGTCTTAACCCGCATTACCAAGTAAGAGATGTTAAAAATATTTTTGGTCTTGCTAGAGACCCATACTAGTAAAAGTCTAACTTAATACTATTCTGCGCATTCCTTTTATTTCTAGGTAAAATTGGGCGGAACACCTTCAACACAGCAGACTGCCATCACATCAACTCCAGTGAAACAAGATCAGGAGAGTAGTGGTGAAGAAAATTTGCCTGAAGCTTTGGAAATTCCTAAAGCTTTAGCATCATCAACTGATTCACAGCCTTCCTCCACTTCTATTGTGGCTCCAGCTGATTCTACCACTCCAGTTACCACTCACGCAAAGCCAGCTGGGGCTCTGTTTGGCAATGCAATGCCTGGACAATCAATTTTTGGGGGTAAGTACATAGCATTGCTACTTGCATCATTTAAGACGCGGCAATTTCTTTTATACCAGAGAAAGAGGAATTGATCATGTAGTTAAATAGGTATTAACTACCTGTTTATAATTTTGTTTGAGTGGGGGGAAAAACTCGAATCTTTATCCCATCATTGTGATTGTGATCGGTTAGTTCATTCCATTACTTAAACATACTTAAAATGTTTTCTTTTATCCCTTTAGCTAATTTGTGTTAGTAATTCTAACTTGTTATTGATTCTTTCTTGGTAATCAGTGATTTCTTATCTATACCTTTAGATCCCTTAATGCTGGTGAGGGGCTATTGATCCAGTGAAGTGGACTTTTCCCTCAGCTCCATGCATTGAAACTAGATGTTTCCCATTTACCAGGTGCTATATGATCCCTGTGGGTTTAGCACTTTTCACTAATTAAAATTAAAAGTATACTCTTAAATTATATATACGTATTAGAGAGAGAGAGAGACTGACTGACTGTGACTGACTCTGGCTGACTGACTGACTCTGGCTGACTGACTGACTGTGACTGACTGACCTGACTGTGACTGACTGACCTGACTGTGACTGACCTGACTGTGACTGACCTGACTGTGACTGACCAACCGACTTCTCATATCTCTCATTTGTCAATGGCATATTTCCCTCATCTCAGGGCTCGTACTTGTGACCAGTTTTGAAGGGGTTTTTCATCCTGTCCTGATCTATCTAAATTGCTGTTAATGGCCTGCTGGCCCATATAGTCTGTCCTGGTTGCTTGGGACTTGTATCAAACAACACTGAAGGACAGAAAAACCACGGAAGACATAATAACAATATACAAAAGAGTACTTGCAAGTATGGATAAGGTAGACGAGGATAGGCTTGAAGTCATGGAACAGGTACTTAGTGGCTGTCTAGAAGATAAAGCCATAGATGAGCCAGAGGAATGTCAGGAAGTATTTCTTCAGTTTTAGGGTCATTGGGAAGTGGAATGACCTTGACGTTGTGGAAGCATACTCCATACATGGTTTTAACCCTTAAACTGTCCAAACGTAGATCTACGTTTTTTCAACATTTGAAAGTATGTAGAAAAACAGATCATCTTTGTTTTGTTTTTTTACATTTGAAAACGTGTAAAAAACTGATCTACTTTTTTTTTATTGAAAATATGTAAAAAACGTAGATCTACTTTTGGAGCACTACGCATGTGAACATACATCTGTTTGGACAGTTTAAGGGTTAAAAGCAGGTACAATAGGGCCCCATGAGGTTATGAGGGCAAGAATCTGGTGAGTTGAGAGGCAGGGCCAGAAGCTAAGATTCTGCCCTAGCAACCCCATAAATGGGTCGAATCTTGGCTCCTGGCCCGGCTTCTCGACTTGCCGCTTGCCAGATTCATTTCACTTCGTCCTCGTAGGACCTGTTGTATCTGCTTTTAGAAATACGTATGGAACCTGTCTCCATATGAAGGTCGTTTGATTTCCTGACCAACCTGAGATGGAAGAAGTGAATCTAATTTTTCATTAATAACATTCACATCCTTAGTCACGTCCTCCACCAACTCTCCCGAGCATGTGCTCAGCAACGTCTGAAAAGCGCAAGGTGTAACATGCACAGAGTACCTGAGTTGGGCGAGGGTTGCACCCAAGTGCTGCGTTGAAAAGTCCAGCTTTGGCCATTACGTCACATGAAAGCTCATGTCAGTTGTGAATGGCTCTCCTACATTTGAGAGCTCAGTTGTGCTGCAGACTTTAATATATTTGTGTTCATCTGATGGTAGGACTGTGGGTAATGGTTATTCCTAGTACCTCAATTGGTGTAGTACAGTGGACCCCCAGTTAACGATATTTTTTCATTCCAGAAGTATGTTCAAGTGCCAGTACTGACTGAATTTGTTCCCATAAGGAATATTGTGAAGTAGATTAGTCCATTTCAGACCCCCAAACATACACGTACAAATGCACTTACATAAATACACTTACATAATTGGTCGCATTGGGAGGTGATCGTTAAGCGGGGGTCCACTGTATTGTCTTTCCTTTTGCAGTCTGTAAAAGAGCAGTGCCTTGTCATTAAAGATCTCCAGATCTGATGAACTGGAATAATTTATTCCCTTGCCTTGTATCAAATCTTAATACTCACCTCCCATTCCCTACCCTTCCTTTCTTACCTGTCCATGACTTTTTTTTTTTTATTATTATTATTCATTGTTTATATTTTCTGTAATGACTTCTGGGCAATGATTCTGAATGAATTAATATATATGGAGCCTATGGGGTTTTGTGAAAGGTATTTCTGTAATAAGGCAGTAAACTGAGTACCAAATTGGTCATGACTTTGAACACCTTAGCATGTTAAGATCACCATATAACCAGAGTTGTAGTGCTTGGTAAATGTTGTAAGTCATTCGATCCCTTTTTCTTTTGTTTGCTTTGTAACTTTACTTTGTTAGGGGTTGAACTAATGTAAATATTTATTAAACATTCCAGAAATCTTCAGGTTTTTCCTAAGCCGCCTCCTTTTTGTGCTATCTTCAGTATTTGGCATTATCCTCAAACACACTCATGTAGATTTTTCTGTTATGTAATTAACTATAAATTGGGCAAAGCTTCTTAGTGTCATTGTGGGAGCTGGGCTCAACCTTCATTCTTAAAAACATTTGACATATCTCACGAAGTGTGAGTGTGCAACCCCCCCCATACTTCCCTGCCCACCCCCTTCCTAAACCTAGACATTAGCTATCATTCACTCCCTAGCTGTCTTTTACAAGAGTGCACATCCATGAAGATCCAGTGACTTGATGAACTGCAACATTCCCAGCTTACTGCTGTCTCTCCTTCCACCTGCATAGTCTCATTGGGTCCTACTATCCCTAGTCTACTTTTTACAGTCGGACTTGGATGTTTATTTGGTCCAAAAAAAAAAAAAAAAAAAAAGTTATCTATTTGAAAATCATGTACAGTTAAACACCAACAATGGATTTTCAAGATATTGAGAGGATAAATCCTAACAAGTCGAGATGTTTCTACAAGCCGAACTATTTTAAAAAAAGATATTTTGAAAAAATTACCTTGTTCATTGATAAATATTTTTACATGAAATGGTATACAAATTAAAAACTTGCCCCTAACTAACTTAACCTGACTTTGCTAAAATTATTATAATTTAAAAGCACCCTAATCTTATCTAACCTATTCAAAAATTATCCAAATTTAGATAATATTATTTAACAGTGAAATAACTGCATATTAATTTTATGTTCAAGCTGTTATTGCAGTATATGTGGTATATGTGGAGACAAAAAATGTTATTCTAGGGAGGCAAAGAAGGGAATATATGAAAGTATAGTAGTACCAACACTCTTATATGGGTGTAAAGCTTGGGTTGTAAATGCTGCAGCGAGGAGGCGGTTGGGGGCAGAGGAGATGTCCTGTCTAAAGGCAATGCGGGGTGTAAATATTATGCAGAAAATTTGGAGTGTGGAAATTAGGAGAAGGTGTGGAGTTAATAAAAGTATTAGTCAGAGGGGTTGTTGAGGTGGTTTGGTCATTTAGAGAGAATGGACCAAAGTAGAATGACATGGAGAGCGTATAAATCTGTAGGGGAAGGAAGGCGGGGTAGGGGTCGTCCTCGAAAAGGTTGGTGGGAGGGGGTAAAGGAGGTTTTGTGGGCAAGGGGCTTGGACTTCCAGCAAGCGTGCGTGAGCGTGTTAGATAGGAGTGAATGGAGATGAATGGTATTTGGGACCTGACGAGCTGTTGGAGTGTGAGCAGGGTAATATTTAGTGAAGGGATTCAGGGAAACCGGTTATTTTATATAGCCGGACTTGAGTCCTGGAAATGAGAAGTACAATGCCTGCACTTTAAAGGAGGGGTTTGGGATATTGGCAGTTTGGAGGGATATGTTGTGTATCTTTATACGTATATACTTCTAAACTGTTGTATTCTGGTCACTTCTGCAAAAAGTGATTGTGTGAGTGAGGTGAAAGTGTTGAATGATGAAAGTATTTTCTTTTTGGGGATTTTCCTTCTTTTTGGGTCACCCTGCCTCGGTGGGAGACGGCTGACTTGTTAAAAAAAAATTTTTTTTACTCTTCCTTGTTTAGGAAAACAATGCTGGCTGAATAAGCTTAGTAAGTTTGCCTTAAAAAGCATAGTGTATATTTGGAAGGGCACATGAACTATCGTATTTATGCGCCTCTGAGAAGACAGTGATAGAGTGAATGGTGGTGAAAGTTTTTCTTTCTGAGGTCGCTGTACCTCGGAGGGAGATGGCCAGTATGATTAAAAGTTTAATATGCATGTACATACACACACAGTACAGTATACGTACAACGTACATAACAGTATGTGTGGTGGTTCGGACATGTAGAGAGAATGGAGCGAAACAGAATGATTTCAAGAGTGTATCAGTCTGTAGTGGAAGGAAGGTGGGGTAGGGGTCGGCCTAGGAAAGGTTGGAGGGAGGGGGTAAAGGAGGTTTTGTGTGCGAGGGGCTTGGACTTCCAGCAGGCATGCGTGAGCGTGTTTGATAGGAGTGAATGGAGACAAATGGTTTTTAATACTTGACGTGCTGTTGGAGTGTGAGCAAAGTAACATTTATGAAGGGATTCAGGGAAACCGGCAGGCCGGACTTGAGTCCTGGAGATGGGAAGTACAGTGCCTGCACTCTGAAGGAGGGGTGTTAATGTTGCAGTTTAAAAACTGTAGTGTAAAGCACCCTTCTGGCAAGACAGTGATGGAGTGAATGATGGTGAAAGTTTTTCTTTTTCGGGCCACCCTGCCTTGGTGGGAATCGGCCAGTGTGTTAATAAAAAAAAAATTATTATAAATGTACGTACACAGTGCAGTGTAAAATTGATTTCATCCATATCTCCTGGTCCTCTAAATCATGTTAGCCACATGAGTATATAATGTTAAGGAATCCTACTTCACTTTTTACACACTACCTCATTTTGAATTCATACAGGATCACCTGGCTCCATGTTTGGAGTGTCAGGAACGCCTACATCAACAATTTTGGGGGAAACCACCACATCTACATCTTCAATATTTGGGGGAAGAATAACGTCTTCATCTCCCTCAATATTTGGGGGAGCTTTATCATCATCAGTATTTGGAGGAACGTCAATATTTGGTGGGAGTGGCAGCAACACCGCTCCCACTTTCATTACCAATGTTTCACCGAACTTCTCGTTAAAGACACCTGCACAGCAGAGTGTACACAGTGTAACCACAGTCAGTCATGGAGCCGGGGGATCATCACGTAAGTTTGTTACGCATGTTTGCCCCCCACTCCATCCCTTTTAATTCTTCTGGTTCCTGGAATAGATTTTTGGTTATTTTCTTGCTTGCAGGGCAGCACTTTTTGTTTACAGGGTAGAAATGTATATACACTTTCGTTCTGATGGTAGCTTGTAAATGATTTTCTTCATTTTGGTCATCTTGCTTAATTTTATCTTTCCCGCTTTAAGTTGTACACACATCGGAAATATGTGCACCAAGTGAAGCAATTAACATTATTTTGGTTGTACTGTAAGGCTGATTTACCGATATAGTTAACATACTGTATAATAAAACATTAAAAAGTTTAAACACAAATTGGTAAAACAGATATTTTTGTACAGAGTACTGGGGATTGAATCAGCAACCTGACATTTGTGAATCCACGGCCATACTGAGCAGGCCGGTGATCAAAAGCTCCCTCTGAGAAGCCTCAGTTGTTGGTCAACTGCCTTCTGTCCCCAGTGTTCTTTGTACAGTTTATTTTCAGACTAGTGAAATTCTCATTTCACTTTAAAAAAATTCTGTAACTCATATAGCCAAAAGTAGCAGGATTGTTGTAGTGTGTGATGTAATTGTTTGTACCAAATTGAGTTTGCAGGGAGTTGGAGTTACAGCTCTTAGTCCTCTCTTAGCTTTCTACTGACTGGTCCACTTGTCTTCTGTTCAATATTTTATTGATAGCCTTTGGCATTTTATGAACTTATTTTTTAGTCTTACAATAATGGCTTCAATTGTTAAGTCATTCTCAGATTTAAAAAAGTGTTATGATGGTAAAGAGACTTACATAATACAGTAGGCATCATAAATATGCATTTGCATAAACAGAATGAGATTCCTCACCATAACTTGTTATTTTAATTACATAGTTCTGAGATGTGGCTATGTTCTTCACCTAAACTCTAGTATTACATAGAATTATCTTTCTTCTTGATGCACTCAAGTCTCCTAGGCACTGATAAGGCTAACTTATGGAGGATAGAAAAGTCAGTACCCTCCCACACTTGCTTCATGACACTCTAGATTTTGGGTTAGAGGACACATCCATGGCACAAAACTTACGCTAATCAAGTTCGCAAATGATGCAACAAGATCACAGTAAACAGGTGATACCACAATATGCAACATATAAGCTTCCAAGTGTTCTCCATTAGATTTATGTCCAGTGAGTTTCCAGGCCAGTCATTAAAGTTTGAAAACATCACAATCATTTAGCCAATTCTTTGTCCCTGGCAGTATTGATGAGGGCGACATTTTCCATGCAAAAGTTATCCTGGTACTTCTTGAATCTCGGGCAAATATTCCGCTGAAGATATATTTATGGGCATGCATATTAATGATGCCTACTGTAAACCTATGACTTTGAGTATTCCGGATTGTATAATAATTGAGGTTTCATGGTTCTTGTAGGGGTGTGTTAGTTTTAAACTACGCTATAGTATAGTATTTCAGTTAATTCATTAGCAGTGTAAAGTATCTTTCATTTATAATGGGTTTGAGTACTGGTATTAGTGTATTTATAATGGGTTTGAGTACTGGAGTTGGTACATTTATTTCAGTGTTTGGTGGGGCAACCTCAACATCGGTATCCACAAGGAGTTCATTTAGCTTTGGGGACAAGTTCTCTGAGTGCGAGTCTACAGGTGAGTACCCAGACAGTTTGGAGCATTAATGTCATGATTTTAATCTAGTTGGGTTTGCTTATGTTGAAATCCAACTCCTGGGCCAATCTCATAAAATTGAATAGCCCAATGTAGTTTGGATGTTATTTTTTTTTGTCTTGTGGCCATGCAAGATATCAGTTCCATTAAAAGCTCTTTGTATTCACATCTAACACAACTCTGCTGAATGCTCAAGGTCCTACAAGCTCAAAGCTTTTAGCCTCTCCCTCCAACCACTCCCGAAACGACCCCTAACCTTCCACTCTGGATGGATTTATACACTGTCATCCTATCCCCTTCCATTCTCTCTACATTCTCAAACAACCCCTCCTCACTCCTCTGAATTATACTCTCGGTGATTTTACATAGACCTGCTCTAAATTTTCAAGTGGCTGTAGCACTAACAACTATTACTAACTAACTGCACCAATGCCACTGTAAAACAAATAAAGGCTTCCATTTTATTCACTTGGCAGTACGGTAGTACCTCCCTGGGCAGTTGCTGCCTGCCATCCTACTATATATTCTTATTTAAAATATTTTCATCCTTAGCTTATAGTGAGTGGTGTAGGAAGTCTGAATACATGAAATGTGGGTATAATTGAAAACTGCTGTATTAGCGAAATGCCATAAAATGAAGTGCTGTAAAGCCGGGCCTTCCTGTATAACATATTCTAGTCTTCAGCACAATGCTAAGCTTTCATAAGGCCGTTGTTTCAAGACAGTTACTTTTTTGATGAACTTGATATTAGTTTTTGTCAAAAACAGAATTTTCATTAAGTTTTTCATCTTTTTTCTAGATTCTGTGGAAATAATTTACGAGAAGAAAGCTACACCTGAGCAAGTTGAGAGGGCACGGAACCTTCTGCTACCAGACAACTTTTATCTTTATGAGGATGCTCCTCGGTGCCCAGGGTGTCGTGGTTGTGAAAATGATGAGGAAGAGATAGACAAGGTAAGCACCACAGGAAGCCTTCTATTGAATGGACTTTGGAAATGCAGAACAAAATCTGCTGGGTCAGTAGCTTCGGAAATGCTGAATGAAGTCCTTTGGTCGCAGAATTGTTCAATTTTGTTGCAATTGCAACAAAACTGTTTTCTCTAGTTACCACAATTGCCATTACTGGCTACCCTTTTACCCCCAATTAGACCACTAAATAGAAGTTTTCCTGTATTTCAGTTAATCTAAATTGTGAAATGTGTAACAGTAAACAGTGTGATGCCTGTAAAATATATACAGTTGCATTACTTCAGGTGGGAAGAATACAGGTTTTTCTTTTCCACTTCTGGCCAATCTTGAACCAGGATTCCTGGTTGAGGGCCAGCCTGGTCATTGGTACTCGCTGCACATGCGCATGCACGCGCAAGCGAGGCAGCACTTCTTGGCTGGTAGACCTATCTGAAAGAATGTGTCATGATCTCAAAAACAGTGAAAAACCTACTGGTAGTTCTTATAAAGGGAAGGGATTGAAACTAGTATTGCATTTTAATCTAGGGAGATTGTAAATTTATGTCTTGTGGGCACCTAAAGCCTACTGTTACATTTGTTAATTTACATCGCATAAAAAATCGTAGTAAACTTAAGCGCCAATGTGACTTAATTTATTTCAGGTTTTGGGGTTTTATATGCAAAATTTATATACACCAAAATAATCTTGATACCAGTGGCACTTAAAATATATTTCATGTACTAATAAATATACCATCTGACTTTGGCTTTCAGTGATGTGAGCTGTTTATCGTAAGCTTTTTCCAAGAATATCTGTATTAGTGTAATTGGTTTCTCTTCAACAGGAAAATCAAGAGAATGCTCCAGTGCCAACATCTGTCAGTTCAAGCTTGGCATTAAAGCCTTCACTATTTGGCAACAGCAGTTCAGTTTCTTCTTCCACTGCATTATTTGGAAAATCTCCATCCACTGCACAAAGTCTATTTGGAAGCAACACTGCAAACAGTTCTCCCCCATCTTAGGAAAGCCTTCCACCAGTATTTCAAATCTGTTTACCAACAGTTCTCCCAGTATATTCAGTAATGTCAGTACTCCTGGCAGTTCTACAAGTATTTTTGGAACTGGTACCACAACTGTCACTGCTAAGAGTATATTTGGAAATCCCCCTGGTACAACAAGTATCTTCAGCAGTACTACCACAAGCAGTGGCAGTTTATTTGGTGGTACACCAAATTCCATGGGACTCTTTGGTGCCAAACCTGCTGAACCTACAGGGTTGTTCAATACTTCCTCTCCTGCTGCTGCTACTACAGTCACAAGTGTGGAGAGCACCAACACAAGTACTATCACTGACTCCATTTCCAAAGTAGGGTTATTTTCATCGCAAAGTGACGCGTCGCAGTTATCATTTGGTGACCTTGCAGAAAAAGCTACTGGTACCACCTTTGGAAAACACAGTAAGTCTCAATTATATTTGTTCTTCATGTTTGTTATTTATTTTCAATATTATTTTACAATTTAGGCCTGAATAAATTTACTTGAATGAAAGTATAGTACAGTAAACCCTTAAATGCAATTCCATGGTCACACCATTGAAAAAGTGCAGTCATTGAAGACACTCTTGACACAGATGCTGTAAATTTTGACAGAATTGAGTCGTGCATGAAATCCATGGCCACACAGTGTCCCAAGGGCAAAGTGCCCCTCCCCCCTTTTTTTGTGGGGGGGAGGCACCATGTTGCATGACTTGCATAATGTATTTAGTGAACGATTTTGGATAGCATCCCATTTCATCTCAGGCTATTAACCATCAGATTTGAAAGTAATGCTGGTGATGCTGATCATGCCAAGAAGACAAATAAGCTTAAAAACTTAGTTTCTTAAAATAAGAGGTATTGCATATGAGATATGTGCCAGAAAAGAATGTGGGTCAATTCAAATAATGGATAAAAATGCAGGTTTGGGGAAGATAGAAGCTATAAAGCTCAGGTTACCAATACATTGTTTTTGGACTGTGATCCTAACATCCACACATTCAGAAAACATCATAATACACATTCAATAAAATGAAGCATTGAGGAATCGATTCATTCACTCACCCAGATTTTGGCTGTGGTAACACTTATTTTCTTCTGTCCATATAATGCCTTGTATGTATCAAGGTGTACAGTGAAAGAGGGTGGTGGTCTTGAAGGCTAGTTCTTCCGAATCCCAGAAGAACTACTAGTAACCCATAATTAAGTCATTTTATGTACCTTTGCTGTATTTATACAATTGTTGAATATGCAAGTTATTGTTGATAGTGTGAAAAAAAAAAATGGAGTTATGTAGTGAAGGTATGATCTTGACAGCAGCACAGCAATGACAAGGGTGTGTTTGAGTTTTGAGTCTACCACAGATGCTGTTGTATCATCCCACCACAACACTAGGAAGAGGACTCAATATTTTTATAAATTCAGTGATAAAGACGAGTTCAATAGGGCTTGTTTCTTTTATCCTCTATTCTCCTTTTGTGCTTGCAAGTGTTTTTTTTTTTTTTTTTTGCACGGTGGCTGTTTCCCACTGAGACCAGATGACCCAAAAAGAAAGAAAGAAAAACTTAATCATTCAACACTTTCACCATCACTTGTATATAATCACTGTCTTTACATAGGTGCTCAGATACAACAGTATAGACGTCCCTCCAAACTGCTAATATCCTAAACCCCTCCTTTAGAGTTCAGGCATTGTACTTCCCATTTCCAGGACTCAAGTTCGGCTAACCAGTTTCCCTGAATCCCTATACAAAATATTACCCTGCTCACAGCCCAACAGTTCGTCAGGTCCCAAAAACCATTTATCTCCATTCACTCCTAATCTAACATGCTTGCTGGAAGTCTAAACCCCTCGCCCATAAAACCTCCTTTACCCCCTCCCTTCAACCTTTTCAGGGATGACCCCTACCCTGCCTTCCTTCCCCAACAGATTTGTGTGCTTTCAAAGTCATTATATTTTGTTCCATTCTCTCTAAATGACCAAACCACCTCAACATCCCCTCTTTAGTCCACTGACTAATACTGTTAGTAACTCCATACCTCCTAATGTCCACTACGAATTCTGTGCATAATATTTACACTACATGTTACTTTGAGACATGACATCTCCACTGCCTTCAGCCACCTCTTCGCTGCAGCATTACAACCCATGACCCATGCTTCACACCCATATATGAGAGTTGGTACCACTATACTTTCGTACATTCCCTTCCTTTCCTCCATGGATAATGTTCTTTTTCTCCACAGATACCTCGATGCACCACTCACCTTTTTTTGTTCATAATTCTGTGGTTTACCTCATCTTTCATAAACCCATCCACTGACAAATCAACTCCTAAATATCTGAAAACATTCACTTCTTCCATACTCCCTCCCTCCAATGTGATATCCAATTTTTATCTAAATTTTGATACCCTCATCACCTTAACTCTTATCTATATTCACTTCCAACTTTCTAATTTTACACACCTTTAATTGCTATAATTTGTGTTATAGATCCAGCAGCAGATGCAATTTGGGCCATGAGAAACCAGCCAGTGTTCAGCCAATCACCTAAGAAGGCAGAGGATGGGGAAGAAGCTGCAGCAGAGGATAATGATGCACATGACCCACACTTTGAACCTGTTGTGCCAATGCCAGATCTAGTGGAGGTTAGAATATGTGCATGAAATTTAGGTGTAATCCCAGCCATATGGCCTGGTACATTCACTTTCATCTCTTGTCAAAGTTCATTAGTTCAAACCTGCTGCATGGTTCGGTCATTTTGAGAGGATGCAGCAAAATAGTGTGACTTAGAGGGTGTATGAATCTGTAGTGGAGGGAAGGAGGGGGGTAGGGGTCATTTTAGGAATGGATGGATGGAGGGAGAGAGGTGAAAGAGATTGTGTGCAAAGGGGCTTGAACATACAGCAATGTATGAGCATGTTAGATATGAGTGAGTGGAGACGGATGGTTTTTGGGACTTGACGAACTGTTGGAGTGTGAGCAAGATAATACTTTGTGAAGGGATCAGGGAAGCCAGTTAGTCGGACTTGAGCCCTGGAGGTGAGAAGTATAATGCCAGCACTGTTAAGGAGGGGTTTGGAATATTTGCTGTTTTGAGTGACATCTGAACTGTCTTATTGCTTTCCTCTGCAAAGACTGATTGTATGAATGATGATGAAAGTGCTTTTCTTATTTGGGTCACCCTGCCTTGGTAGGAGACAGCCAGTGTGTTGAAAAAAAAAATTTAGGTGTAGTTGATGTTATACTATAGTTGCAGGGGTTGGGTGACTGCAGAGGTTATTCAACTGATGTTTGCCTCTGGCAATAAACTGGGCAATCTGTGCACCCCTAGGTGCTTTGAAGTCTGCAGCCTCTTTTCCTCTGTCTATACCCCATTTCCAGTTGTCTTGCTCCTTTTCCAGGTTTCCTGACCTTCCATTTACTAAGGTTAGATTTAAGCAACCACTTCTCTGACTACTCAATTGTTCAGTTCTCTCTTGAGTCTCCTTGGCTTTATTCTCCTCATCAGGTTTGTGTATTCTTTAGCTGTGTAACATGAAAAATGATTGCCTAGCTTCTTAGCTTCATAGGTTACTTGTCTCCCCTACCAAATTCTGAATTCGAAAGTAAACTTGGAAGAATTACTGTTATGAGTGATGTAGGGTCTTGTTGATTTTCTCTTTCCTGAAGATGACATGTGGCAGTGGACTGCAGAACAAGTGTGGTAGTTTCATGCCTGAATATACAGGGGTTATGAAATGTTAGAAAAATGCAATTTCTAATAATGATAGAGATCTCCAGTGAATACTAGAAAGGACTGCCCTTCTAGCATCCAGCCTGTTACTGGGTTTTTGTAACAAGTAGTCAGTATCCTGGTCCAATTATCCATTAGAATTTAGTAAGATTCAGTAGTGCTTCAGGATTACAACTGGTAGGCTACTAACTAAAGAAATGAAAAGTTTAATAAGTTTAATAATAACAATAAAGTTGTCTAGGCATATATTATTAAAGTAAATTAATCAACTGAATATAATATAGGATACAAGTTCCTACACTTCTCTCGTGTACAGTAGTATCGTGCTGAAGACACATATCACATCTTTATACTTTTAAGTACCGTTCTGGTACATTGTTAGCATTTAATAACATAATACAAATATATACAAGTAAGTTTGTGTGCATGTGTGTAAGTGCTCTAAGTAGTTCGCTATGTCTCAAGACTCGACTAGACTTAACCAGTGACTGACTAAAAGTCCTCACATAAACTAACTTCTTGGCCAACCTGGCAATCAGAACAGCTTGCTTGAACAATAAAACAACTGATAAGCCAAACAGCAATATAACAAACAACAGCGACACAGAATCAGGAACAAGGAGATAATATAATGACACTAAGTAGGGACCATCTGCAGATCCTCCACAAAAGTCACAAAACTCCCATACTACTGAATCAAAGTTCAGCATTAGAAAATCCCCGACTGTGACAGTACACAGATACCAGCTACAGCTCAGGACCTGAGTTTCTCAGTGTCAATGAGTCACACAACCTCAGTACAACGTCGAAAATTGCCAAGTCTAGGCTATGCTCTGAGAACAGAGTACACAGAACTAGCAACAAGAAAGCGACAGAGACGATCTTCCAACAAGGGCCCGCAATGGAGAGCTGGAGAGGCAGTGTTGTTGGAAGGCACGTCAAACAGACAAGAAAGCGCAGGCCAGACAGTCTCTCGCTCCTGGTGAGGTGTGATCACCCCACCCTGATCACTTGACTCTCCGTGGACTGCTGCTGCCCAGCAACACAGAAGCCGGCAGCGAAACAAGCGAAGTAAAAACTACAGTAGTTAGACAATGCTGTCAGCTACTTAACACTTGAACTATGAGCACTGAATAATATATAAATGTTACATCATACCTAATAATATAACTAAGTCAAATAATAATATAAAGCAATATATTTACGATTTAGCTAATATCGCAAATATAAGCAATATAAAATTATATGAACAGGTAATATACATTATATACATTGTGACCCATTCAGGGGTTGCAATATGAAGATAATCAAATTAAAAAAAAAAATTCAAAACTATTGGTCATCCTCCGCACATCACATTTCACATGATGTGTGGAGGATGGGTGGCTGTGGCTGCTTTAGTTCAAGGAAAGCAGTTAAATATTTTGTATTAATTTATTTCACATATAAAAATTCATCATTGGTTTTCATCCATAGGTGAAAACTGGAGAAGAAGACCTGGAAGTGATATTTTCTAATCGTGGGAAACTTTACCGATATGACACATCTTCAAAACAATGGAAGGAGAGGGGTATTGGCGATTTTAAAATTCTCTTCGATCCTGTAAATAATAAGTATCGTCTACTTCAAAGAAGAGAGTTGGTATGTATGAAGAGCTTTCATTCATTTTGTACATTTTTAATTTTGACTACTCTGATAAACATAACTACTCGTAACAAATTTTTTCTTGAACTTGTTTGGGCCTTTGTTTCATATTTTAACTTTTAATTGTGTTAATATAAGAAGCTGTTCTAGGTATTTCAGGTTTCCATGTATATGAACTAGGAAATTCATTTTGTACAGAAAATAGTTGGTAGCAGTAACTAAATGAAGCATTACTGATAGTAAGGGACATTCATCTAAATTTAAAAATAGGAAATGTGTTTGGGGAGGGGGGGTTGTGTTAGGGAGAATGGAGAAGAGTGGTAAGGAATTTGACGTGCTTTTGGAGTGTGAGCAAGGCAACATTTATGAAGGCATTCAGAGACGCTAGTTGCCCAGTCTTGAGTCTTGGAAGTGGGTAGTACTGTGCCTGCACTATGAAGGAGGGGTGGGGATACTTAAGCTCAGAGGTTATTTAATTGTGTTATCTGTTCATTTCTGGCACTACAGCTATTGAATGAATAATTGGGAATTTGACCTATTTTGGGTCACCTTACCTTTGTGGAAGAATGTCAGTGTCATACAAAAAAAATTACATTTATTTTTTATTTATTTTTTAACCATAGTCTAGATGTTGAGTTTACCTTTTTCTGCAACACATTATGTATACAAAGCTTTGCATAAATCTTTTGATTCAATGCACATTCACAAAGCATTCTCCAGTCTATTGTGTTTATGGTTTGTTTTAATTTTGCAGGTCCACAAGACATGCTGTAACCACTACCTTACCCCACAGCTAGAATTAAGACCCTTACAGACCTCTGAAACTGCTTGGTGTTGGTATGCTACAGATTATTCTGACAGCTTAGAAGGAAGCAGTGAACACTTAGCAGTTAGGTTCAAGGTATGTTTTTATTGGGTATATTCACTTAAAGCTTCTTACCGGCAAAACCAAAAAATATTTTTTGTCTTATTAGTTTCCATCATTATGCAGTGTTTGATCTTTTACCATGGCAGTTCTTTTGTTTACATCCTAAACGTGTTTTAAATTTTGTACCTAGTTTTGGTGCAGTTTCATATGTTATTGATTTTTGGGGTTTTATGAATCCATATACTCTAAATTTCTGTAGTTTTTTTTTTTTTCCTCACATGGCCTGTGACTTGGCAATGCTGCCTCTGTTTCATTTAGTTTTCTTTATTAACTCTTCTATATTATCAAATTATCTCCATTTTTATTAGTCATTAGTCAAGGAGTTTATGGCTTTTATTTTTCTCTATCATTTTCAGGGGTATATATAACATTGTCCCTCACTGTTTTTCTGGGCGCTAGTATGAAATATGAAAAGTAAAATTTCATGCACTGAAAAAATAAGGTGTTATTGCAGTTTGATGGAGCAATGGTTTAGAGAAGTGGCTTGGCCGGGAATTTTCTAATTTTGGAACACCTTATTTAAGTATAAAATGGTTGTAAAGTTAAAAAATATATGTACAGTGGACCCCCACTTAACGATCACCTCCCAATGCGACCAGTTATATAAGTGTATTTATGTAAGTGCGTTTGTACGTGTATGTTTGGGGGTCTGAAATGGACTAATCTACTTCACAATATTCCTTATGGGAACAAATTTGGTCAGTACTGGCACCTGAACATACTTCTGAAATGAAAAAATATTGTTAACCGGGGTCCACTGTATATGATTTGTTTGTCTTCCATAGTAGGTCATCCACTGCAGTTTTTGTGATATTACACCTAATTCTTAACTTTGTTAACTTTAACTTGCAGACCACTGAATTGGCCAAGGAATTTAAAAGTAAGTTTGAAGAGTGCCAAGAGAAGTTACGGAATGCTGAAGCTAGCAATTCTACAACGGTCAGCGCCTCTGCCACAGTTGCTATTCCTCAGGCTACTCAGTTTGCAGCAACAGATGGGCATGCAGCAGCAGATGGTCATGATAATGAAAATGATGATGAAGATGAAGATTATGAGGATGAAGAGGATGAGGAGGAGGAGGAGGAAGATGGAGAAGATACAGTAATATTCTTTAATAAGAGATGCACTTTGTTCAAAAAGGAAGAGGAAAATTGGAAGGTAAGTACTTTATTCTTTCTGCTTCCTCTTCAGGTATTTATTTCTTAGGTGAATGCATCTGGTCAGTATCTTTATATACCTTCATGCATCATAAAAAAAATAATTCAGAGTGACAGACTATTTTAAACTGCAATGTCAGTAATGTAACATTTGCAGACTGAGTGGAGATAAGTCAAAATAAAAAATTGTATAACCTGTTAATTCACAAAAAATTTATCAGTGAATAAAATAAGATTTTCAAAAAGATTACTTATTTGATTGACTCTGCTTTGAAAACATGGCATACATATACTCTGACATGTAGACACTAGGCATGGGAGACCTGCGCATAAAATATGATGATGACATCTACGGAGCGTGTATCAGCATGACCTCGGATAAGGGCGAGACTTTGGCCGAGCATGTCATCGCCATGCAGACTACAATGGACAAGGAGGGCAATGCAGCCGTTTGGACAGTGTTGAACTTAAAACCTGAGCCAGCCGTTACCACCACATTTAAAGCTGTTTTCTCGTCCTCCCAAGCTTTAGAGGATTTTGCGACGGCTTTCTGTGAGGTCAGTTTTTATACATGGTGGACTGTAAGTTACTACTTGTAACCTTTATTGGATTTTAGTAGTATATTAATGCAAGACGCACCATTTTTAACTTACTGATACCAAAACTGTTAGGCTGTGTATTTAGGTCTAGTGTGAAAATATAAATAACATGCCATGTAGGTTAATGAATGTTTTAAAGGTTTTACTGTAGGGTACTGTAAAAGTTTTGTCTTCAGGGAATTATACCTCTCTCTTTTCATGTTTGATCTTTATGTATTATTGTAATTTATAATATCAAAACGGCAGAATCAGGAGCCTTTATTAAAACCTTTCCTTTCCATGATCAAACCTGAAGGCCTCCCCAATCCTCCCTCCCCCAAGAGCTATATGACCACTTTGGGTTTGGCTGTTCTTCATGCCTCATGACTGAAAAAAGTTATTTATATTGAAACTTTTGTGGTAATTGTGATATTCTATTTAAGTTCTTCAGAATTTTTTGGCTCAATTTGTTTTGTCTGGTTAAGTGCTGTGAAGTCCCTAGTATATTATTCTAGACATGGTATTGTGACATTTATTCTCCAGCGTTAATATTACTTGTACTGTCAATTGACCGACACCTGAAAAATGGCATGTCACTGCATGCTAATGCATACAATTTGTTTTCAGGGTAAGGAATGTGCAGTTAATGCTGGAATTATGGAGCAGCAAGGTGGAATGTGTGTAGAAGTGGCCCCTGATGAACTTTACTACGGCCTGGGTGCTGATGAACATGGTAGGGGTGCAGTTAAACACAAGTACTGAGGGTATAGTTATAAAATGATGTTGAGCACGTTTATTGTTTAAAGATATTTCCTACAAACAGTTTCTTTGTTTTCTTCTCATTCCTCTTTTCTCATTCTTCTCTCTTATTGGCCATTTATTCCCCCCCCCCCTCTCTCTCTCTCTCTCTCTCTCTCTCTCCTCTCTCTTTCTCTCTCTTTCTCTCTCTTCTTTCTCTCTTTCCTCTCTTTCTCTCTTTTTCTCTCTCTTTTCTCTCACTCTTTCTCTCTCTTTCTCTCTCTTTCTCTCTCTTTCTCCTTTCTCTCTCTCTCTCTCTCTCTCTCTCTCTCTCTCTCTCTCTCTCACTCTCTCTCTTTCTCTCTCTCTCTTATCTCTCTCTCTTTCTCTCTCTTTCTTCTCTCTCTCTTTCTCTCTTTCTCTTCTTTCTCTCTTTCTCTCTCTTCTCTCTCGTCTTTTCTCTCTCTCTCTCTCTTCTCTCTCTCTCTCTCTCTTCTCTCTCTCTCTTCTCTCTTCTCTCTTTCTCTCTCTCTTCTCTCTCTCTCTCTTTCTCTCTCTCTCTCTTTCTCTCTCTACTCTCTTTCTCTCTCTCTCTCTTTTCTCTTCTCTCTCTTTCCTCTCTCTCTCTTTCTCTCTCTCTTCTTTCTGTCTTTCTCTCTTTCTCTCTCTCTCTCTTTCTCTCTCTCTTCTCTCTTCTCTCTCTTTCTCTCCTCTCCTCTTTCTCCTCTCCTCTCTCTTTTCTCTCTCTTTCTCTCTCTCTTTCTCTCTTCTCTCTTTCTCTCTCTCTCTTCTCCTCTCTCTCTCTCTCTCTTCTCTCTTTCTTCTTTCTCTTTCTCTTCTCTTTCTCTCTTTCCTTTCTCTCTCTTTCTCTCTCTCTCTTTCTTTCTCTTTCTTTCTCTCTCTTTCTCTCTCTTTCTTTCTTACTTTTTTTTTTTTACACAGGGTTTGACAAGGTTAAGGATCCCTAGCTTTATTGACAGCTATATTACAGGTTAAGGATTCCTAACTTTATTGGCAAGCTAAGAGCTGTTACCTACATCAGCTCATTTGAAAGCATTTTTATTGTTATGAGACATACAAGTAGGGAACAGGATGAAGTTGGAGCCATCTGTGGGCCAGCATTTTCATTTGATCAACTGACTTTATCTCGTTGACATCATTATGCTGTACGAATGTGTTCCATACTCGAGTCATCCTGGGTTTATGTTGTTCAGATGGGGAGTTTGGAAAGGGTCAGCCAGAGTGAAGTTGCTGCTTTCTGCCCTCTTGTGGCAAAAAGCTTGTTTCACCCTGTCCCCGAAGTGGATCCAAGTGTGGTATTTTGAAATATTGGCCTTGTAATAACAGTAAGGCCCCCACATCCCTCCTATGTTGAAGGCCGTGAAATGACAGATCACCCAGGAGGGGTCCGGCAGAAAATGAGACGTCTTGTCTGTTTCTACTCTTTTCAAAGCGGTCGGCAGATGAGGGGGGGGGGCAGGAAAACAAGAAAGTGGGGGCATATAAAGGGTGTGGCGTATTGTGCCTCGTACGGTCTTGCAACCCCTACTGCAGCAGATGCAGATACGGCGAGTGCTGTAACTTCCGGGGCTGCCTTGTTTTGCAAGATTTAAAAACTGGTTCTTCATGGTTAGTTTGGAGTCAAATTTCCCCCCAAAGGGATATAAAATTTCTTCTCCAGGTGCCAACATCCCCATTCATCCTTATACTGCACCCATTCCATCATGGTGCCAAAGCATCTATTTGCGTTTTTTCAGGTGCAAATTTACTTGCCAATCTTTTTCCCCCAAGTGATATAGCTCTCAGTGGTGTTTGATGTAGTTTTAGAGCAGCTGGATTTCTTCTTTGGATAAAGGGGAAAAGTCAGTGTACAGTGTCTGCATATGCATGTGTTTGGGGTGAGATGGGAAGGGTCTTTTGAAGTAGACTTTTCCATAAAAATGGACCCAGCCGTTTCCCTTGTGGAACGCTTGCCCCTGGGGATGCCTTGCTGTTTCCCTTCCATTGGGGATACACTTAGACTACTGAAGGTAATCACTGGGAGACAAGGTAGACCCGCAATTCCCCAGTGCTTGAAGTTTTGTAAGGCCCTGGTGCCACCCCGGTGGGAAAGCGCCCCCAATGCCAGTGCTACCACCAGTGATTTGGGATTACCAGTGACGGTCCCCTTAGTGGAGGGGTTTTAAAACAACAGTCAGCACAGAGTAACCTTTCTGAAGCCCTATTACATCCAAAGTGTGAGTGGTAGTCAAAAAACTCGTATTTTTTTGAGATTATTGCTCAAGGATCTTCCAGTGTTACAGGAGGAACCTTTGGGGGGTTTTTTTTTCTGCTCTTCTTCTTTTTAAAGGGACTCATTTGCCTTTTTCCTTTAGAGGGCCATTTACACGTACTAGGCATGTGAAAGATGCGGGTTTGGGGGGCTGCTGGTCTCCCTTTTTCAAAAAATTTGGGCCAGCTTGTTGGGCCCCCCGGGTTTTGGTTTAAAAAAAGGAAAAGCACCTCCTCCTGCCTTATTTACAGACAGTTTTTTACAAGTTCTGCAGTAGCCAAAAGGGGGGGTTTTTAAAAATTGCATTTTGGTAGCAAATGTTAGCAAAGGGCCCCTTTTTTTTATAGTAGAGGTGTCCCATCCTGTCGTTTAGGGTGGTAATTTTATGGCGATAAAATTTTTTTTTTTCCCGGGCCCCCTTTGGGGGGAAACTAAATCTTTTGGGCCCCCCCAAGCCACTTTTAAAAACCTTGGGCCCGGCTTGGGTTTTTCAGGGTTTTTTAAGGGGGGTGGGCCCTCCCTCTCCCCCCCCCCCCCTTTTTTTTTTTTTCCCCCCCCCCCCCCCTTTTCCCTTTTTCCCCCCCCCCCCCCCCCCCCCTCCCCAAAACCCCCCTTTTTTTTTTTCCCCCCCCCCTTTTTTTCCCCCCCCTTTTTTTCCCCCTTTTTTTTTTTTTCCCCCCTTTTCCCCCCCCCCCCCCCCCCCCCCCCCCCCCCCCCCCCCCCCCCCCCCCCCCCCCCCCCCCCCCCTTTTTTTTCCCCCCCCCCCCCCTTTCCCCTTCCCTTTTTTTCCCCCTTTTTTTTCTCTCTTTTTCTCCTTTTCCCCTCTTTTTCTCTCCCTCCTTTTTCCCCTTTTTTTCCCTTTTTTCCTCTTCTCTTTTCTTTTCTTTTTCCCCCCCTCTCTTTTTCCCCCTCTCTTTCTCTTTCTTTCTCTCTCTTCTTTCCCCCTTTTTCCTTCTCTCTCTCTTCTCTCTCTCTCTCTCTCTCTTTTCTCCTCTCTTTTTCTTCCTTTCTCTCTTCTTTCCTTCCTCTTTCTCTCTTTCTCTCTCTCTCATTTCCCTTCTCCCTCTTTCTCTCTCTTTTCTCTCCTTCTTTTTTCTCTCCTTTCTTTCTTTTCCTCTCTTTCTCTCTCTCTCTCTTCCTTTCTCTCTTTCTCCTCCTCTCCCCTCTTCCCTTCCTCTCTCTCTCCCCTTTCCTTTCTCTTCTCTCTCTTTTCCCCTCTCTTCTTTCCCTCTCTCTTTCCTCTTCCTTTTTTCCTTCTCTCTCCTCTTTCTTCTCCTTTCTTTTCTTCTCCTCTCTTTTTTCTCTTCCCCCCTTTTCTCTCTCTTTTCCTCTCTCTTCTTTCTCTCTTCCCTCTTTTCTCTCCCTTTTTTCTTTTCCTTTCTCTTCTCTTTCCCCTCTCTTTCTCTCTCTTTTCCTTCTCTCTCTCTCTCTCTCTCTCCCTTGTTCTCTCTCTCTCTCTCTCTCTCTCTCTCTCATTTTTAGCTTTAGTACACTAATTATTGCAGTATCAACTTAAAATGTACAATATTATTCATAAGAACAGAAAGTACTTATGCTTGTGGTAAAACATTTTGAATAGATCATCATTGTTTTAGGAGTGGCCCAGAAGCAGCTGCTGTCTCGGTCAGTAAAACCTTGGATGAAGCGAAAAACACTTCCATTGAACATAGGGCATTTGACTTCTTGTGATCCCAATTTAACTAGAGACATAGCCACTGCTCTTCAGGAGTACTTTCCAGCACAGATCTCTAAATGTGATTCAGGTGTGTTGTTAACTAGCTAGATGGATATTTGTTCTTATTAGTTTGGCAAGTGGCTAGTTGTATCTTAGTGTTGAGCATAGGTATTACATAATTTTTGTTGTATTGCATGCTACAGTAGCTATGGGAAATATCAACATACATGAAAATTACCAAACATTAAATATAATGGGCAATTGATTTTTTTAAATTATTGTACAAGGTCTATGAAAATAGTAATTAATACCTTTGGTAAGGTTTAGTCAATTTTGATAAATTGGTTATATTGAGAAGGCTGATATTGATTTGGTGAGAGACAATGTAAATATTTCAAAATCTAAATGGTGCATAATGTTGACTGTTTTAATAAATGGTTAAAACTTAGAAGGATGGTAAAAGTAATAATAGGAATCTCTCAGTGGTGAGGGTTAATCCCAAGATATTAACATTATGGAAGTAGTGATAACAAGTGTCCTAAAACAGAGTGGGGAAGATCAAAGTGAAAAAGATATTTAACATTTGCCAAATAGCTGTCCCCGCATGTATCACTTCCCATATGCCTTTAGGTCAGCATGCTACATTCCATAACTTTCTTTCAACACACCGGCCGCATCCCACCGAGGCGGGGTGGCCCAAAAGGAAAAACGAAAGTTTCTCCTTTTCATTTAGTAATATATGCAGGAAAGAGGTTACTAGCCCCTTGCTCCCGGCATTTTAGTCGCCTCTTACAACACGCATGGCTTACGGGCGAAGAATTCTGCTCCACTTCCCCATGGAGATAAGAGGAAATAAACAAGAATAAGAACTAGAAAGAAAATAGAAGAAAACCCAGAGGGGTGTATATATATATGCTTGTACATGTGTGTGTGATGTGACCTAAGTGTAAGTAGAAGTAGCAAGACGTACCTGAAATCTTGCATGTTCATGAGACGGAAAAAAGGACACCAGCAATCCTACCATCATGTAAAACAATTACAGGCTTTCGTTTTACACTCACTTGGCAGGACGGTAGTACCTCCCTGGGCGGTTGCTGTCTACCAACCTACTACCTAGGATACCATAGCTTTGTAATTATTTATTAAAATTTTTATGCAGTGCTATGAAAGCTTGGATACCAGTCAGATGGCAGGAAATTATATTTGTTTTGACTATAAAGATTAGCCAGACTTGCATCCTGGAGGTTGAGAGGGAAGTGCCTGTACTCTGAAGGGGAGGGGTGGGCACGCTGCAGTCGGAGGTAATTTGATTGTGATGTCGGCTTACTTCTGGATATATGGCAGTTGAATGAATGATGGTGAATGTTTTCTTTTGGTTACTCTTCCTTGGTAAATACTTTAATCTGTATATTAAATCAATGATATAGCAATCTTCTCCCATCTACTCTTACCAAATTTGAAGGATGTTTGTGTGAGAGAAAAATCTGAAGTTTCAAGCTGTGATGTAATAGCATGGCTAAGTACCTTGTCATTGCTGTAAGGTTTTTTCATTTTTTTTTTTCCAAATACCATGTAAGTGTATTTTTATTTATTAACACATCGGCCATTTCCCACCAAGGCAGAAAGAAGAAGAAACACTTCCATTATTCACTCCATCACTGTCTTGCCAGAGGTGTGCCTACACAGTTAAAAAACACAACTTATCAACACCCCCTCCTTGTTATTCCTTGTAATTCATTTTAATAGGACCACCTTCTAGTTTAGGAAGTCAAGAAGTTGAAACTTACTTTTGTAAATGAGTGCAGTATTTCATTAAAATATTAATTGACTTGATGTAGCTCAGTTCTATTTTCAGTGGTCCAGTTTAATGGCTGTTTTAGGTTATTTTAATCAACATTACCTGTCCACTTTATTATTATTATTATTATTTGTAATCTTGTTTGTATTGCAAAAAAATACATCATGATAAATATTTGTAATCATTGTCTTCTCTTTACAGAATAACTTCTGAGAGTATGCCTAGTAAGATATAGTGAAGCCTCGGAAGATAATGTCGGATCCAGAACTTGATGACATGTTTGATTTTATCAATTTCAGTGGAACTGTGGCTTTTTTATTAGTGGCTGTTTGAAGTTACAGTAGTGTTCGATAAAATATTTCACAAATAAATATCCTGTCATATAAAGAATGGAATTTTTCATGCTTGAAGTTGTCAGTACTTTGGTCATTATTTTTAAAGCTGTGATTGTGATCTCCTGGCTTCGATTGTTAATTTTATCAGCATCACCTTTTATGGTGTGGCAAATCCTTCCATTAATCACTGGTATGATAGACTTAATGGTGACTTGTGTTATTTGGACAGTGTTACCATGTACCCTTGAAATTATGCCATACCTAAATATTTGTGAAGAATATTTATGCTTTTTAATTTGATATATGAAATGTGCTCTATAATTCAATGATTGTTTTACAGACTTGTTATTTTTTGTAAACATTTTAAGTTCAGCCATAGTGCAAACTATTTTTTCTTAATACGTTGGTACAAATGTAACATTTCTGCTGGCTTTGAAACCCAGGTAATGCTTTAATGTGTCCATAATTGATTCCAATGAAGAACGTCACATTACAGTTGTAACAATTTGCAACTTAGGTTGAAGATTAAGCTATGGCAATGCTTCAGTCCATCCAGGACCATTACCAGGTTGCGACTTGTTACTGGTCCAGGCTGTGCCAAAATTTGTCAAGTTTCATCTCCACTTTGTAAGAGTTGTGTATTTCAGCAGCTTAGTAGATATGGACTTTGTAGCTGGTTCCTGTGTATCAGAGTTACAGATTAAGTTACAAACAAAAACCTTTCTGAATAAACAAATCCCACCTTAATGGAAGTTTTTTATTGAAACCACTTTTGCCATGATTTATTCTTGTGACCATTTTGATTTTAAGTTTCATAGCATTCTCACCTAAAATGCAACATATTAAAGGAAAGAACACAAGTGTCCTCACAAAATATTTGTGTGCTCACTGTGACTAGGGTAGATGTGAGGAATGGAACCCAGGATGAAGTTGATTGTTAAAGTTCCTTCCATTACACAAAAAAAGTAAATGTATAAACTCTATTGATATCAAGAAAGGATATAATTTTTTTTTTTTTTTTTTTTTTTTTTTTTTTTTTTTTAACAAGTCGGCCGTCTCCCACCGAGGCAGGGTGACCCAAAAAGAAAGAAAATCCCCAAAATGGAAAATACTTCATCATAATTCAACCCTTTCACCTCACACATTATCACTGTTTTTGCAGAGGTGCTCAGAATACAACAGTTTAGAAGTATATACGTATGAAGATACACAACATATCCCTCCAAACTTCCAATATCCCAAACCCCTCCTTTAAAGTGCAGGCATTGTACTTCCCATTTCCAGGACTCGAGTCAGGCTATATAAAATAACTGGTTTCCCTGAGAAAAATATAAGTATTATAATAAAAAAATTTGAAGTTCAATAACCTAACTTAATCAAAATTGGAGAAAGAACAAAAAAACTACAACGACCAAAGCTAAGAGTGGATGACTTGCAGGCATTTTGAATGCTCCATATATAATTTGTAGGATACAGACGAAGACAATGTTCCAAACAGATTTCCTGTACTACTAACGTGATGAGGACAGAGTTGCCCAGGAGAACTGTACACACTATAGATATACAATCAGAAAGGAGCCCTGGTCACTACAGATGGTCATTTGATTTTCCTAGAGCCAACTAGGTGAGGTGGAAGATAGTCGGCCAGAATACCTGAATCAAAATTCTAGCATATGATTGGGTTGGATCTGGTCAAGAAACACACACAGCCTCATGATGCAGACAGCCCCTTATGGTCCACAAATTGGAGCAACCCAATTCCAATCCTACAGGCTGAGAAAGAGGTTACCAGAGGACACAGGTTATGGCATAGACAAGTAGCCAGAATAAACCTAAGCTAATACAGGTAACTTAATACAATGAGCAATCCTGAGGACTATTTACCAGGAGGAGAGTCAGGAGTAGTGACTATTGGCTTACCCTGGCTAATAGGTAAACACCAGTAGTTCTCCTGGGAAAGTAGGAGGTAATGATGATCAAAAGCCCTGAGTTGTATGACAAATAACTACCCATAATTTGTATGAGCCACTCTTATTCCTCATAGTAACATTATGCCCTCACTAATGAGGTTGCTTTTATCATTCTGCTTTAGTCGGAACATGAAATGAGATTCGTAGTGTCACGCAAATGTTGAATGTGGTTGCTTAAGCAGCTACCTGTGGATTTAGCGCTTATTTATGAGTATAATAATAAAGGGGCTCGTGATCCAAGACGCGGACTTGTCCCCTTCCTTGGATGGAACATGAATGCCTCTTATTCCCCAGGTGTTATGTGCTTACTATGGGTTTAGTTCTTCTTGTTGACCAGTTTCAATTTTTTTTTCTCATTCATAAGAGTGATGAATTGGACATACATTGTGTACAAAGAATAAAATGCAAGAAAGGGGTGGATGTTTGCAGCACAAGAACTTTCACACTGTCACCAGTGTTTCATCATTAGATCTGCAAATAGGAAATGGAAGATTCTCAGATTTGGAACAGTGGCAAGCACCATGGCCAGATGGGTGCTTGGACATGGTGATTATGACTACTCCATCCCATCTCAGAATTTTTCATTACATTTCTCTATTGCCTATTTGCAAAGTTCTTGACAAAGCACTGGTGATGGTGCAAAAAGTCCTGAGCTTCAACATTCACAAGCTATTAACAAATGCACAATGAGACACTAGAGGATGGAAAACCTAAAGAGTCCATTTTCCACTGTTCCAAGTGCTTCATCAGGAGCTATGGAATAGAAGATTGTCAAGAGGTAAGTAGGCTGTGTGGTCAGTGCCATATTCTGTCTACAAATACATGAACAACAAGCCACAAGGTGCATGCACTCTCCAGTGCTTAATATATTAAAAAATACACTGAAAATCAACAAATAACTGCTCATTAGTACACCATTTTTCTTAACATTATGACAATTATATATTCTGTATTCTCATCCATGATTTTAACAGATCTCTGCATTTGCAGCCCAAAGTTCATAGATGAGAAAGTATTGAAGATTTATGAAAATAGCATCCATAGTGACTGCCTCCAGCGTCCTTTTCTCCCTCGCTGGTCTCTGATCTGGCATATTACATCTTTTAACATATCCTACCCTGCAGTGCTGTATGACCCTTGTGAGGTTAGCTCTTATTTTTTATTGCAATATTATGGAAACAGCATATGATATAAACTATCCAAAAAATTTAACTGACAAATCTTATAAAATTGCCAGAAATACATTTTAGAATTCAAAACCCCTCAAGTGAGGTTCTTTGATGCTACCAAGGGGCTCTTGATCTAAGAAATTGGATCTGTTTCATTTCCCCAAATTAAGTCTGAATACTTTCCATCCTGCCCTCCCCTTCACAGGCACGGTATAATTCCTATGGGTTTAGCCCTCGAAAATAATTCAAAAAAGGACAAAGAAACATATTCAACAAAGAATATGTTGGCTGTACTTTACCATAAAAAAACCTTGATAATACTTTCTCTACTTTAGAATTTCAAAAGCAAAGTTATATTTAAAAATCTTGATTCAGTAAAAAAAAAAATTAAGAATTCCCCCTAAAATGCTGATGGTTGTCTATAAGATTCCCTGTAATAAAAAAATCAATAAGTTTATTTTGGTCAAACTGGAAAGTCTTGAACTAAGATGTGTGAGCGTGTTAGATAGGAGTGAATGGAGATGAATGGTTTTGGGGACTCTGGTGAGCTGTTGGAGTGTAAGGGTAATATTTTGTGAAGGGATTCAGTGGAACTGGTTAACCAGACTTGAGTCCTGGAAATGGAAAGTACAATGCCTGCACTTTAAAGGAGGGGTTTAGGATATCGGCAGTTTGGAGGGACGTCTAAACTGTTCTATCTTAGCGCCTCTGCAAAGACGGTGATTATGTAGAGTAAAAGTAAAAAAAGTGTTTTGAAGAAATAATTAAAGATTTTTTTCTTTTTTTTTTTAAAAAAAATTTATATATATATATAAATATATATATATAAAAATAAAATTATTTTTTTTCATTTTAAAAATTTTTTTTTTATTTAAAAATTATTTTTTTAATAAATTTTTTAAATTTTTAATAAAAAATATTGCCCCCGGGGTTTTCTTTTTTCTTACTATTTTTTTTTGTTTTTTCCGCAACTCCTGGGGAAGTGGAAAACGATTTTTTCCCCTCCTCCCTTGTTTCGAGGGAATTAAAATTTTAAAAATATATTTTTTGTAATTATAAAATAAAAAAAAATTTTTTTTTTTTCCCACCTGCCTTGGGGGGGAATGGCCATTTGGAAAAACGTGTTTTTTTAATTTTGGTTTTGGAGAAAATAAAAATTTTTTTTTTTTTTTTTTTTTTATAATATTAATTATCCGATTTGGTAAGGGTCGAACCTAGAACCTTGGACAAACGATTTTTCCAATCACCCCGGGGAAATTTGGAATCCAGCTGGCTCCTTGGTCAAAGCTAGGCCAAGCGGATTCCAAGGTTTGGTCCGTGTGGGCAGATTGGTAAAGCATGCTACCTTTTTCCAAGGTTCGTAGGTTCAGCCCCCTTCAGCCAGAAAAGTGTTTGTGTATATTTCGCCGTTCTTGCAAATTTCCCTTTGAAAGAGCGGAATTCGCAAATATATATATATTTTTAATATATATTATATATATATATTTTTATAAAAAATATATATAATTAAAAAAATTATTATAATTATAATTTATTTTATTATTTTTTTTATTATCACCCCGGCCGATTCCCCCCCAAAGGCAGGGGGGGCCCTAAAAAAAAAAACTTTCCCCATCATTCACTCCATCACTGTCTTGCCAAAGGTCTTTACACTAAGTTTTTAAACTGCAACATTAACACCCCTCCTTCAAGTGCAGGCCTGTATTCCCATCTCCAAACTCAAGTCCCCCCTGCCGGTTTCCCTAAATCCCTTCAAAAAATGTACTTTGCTCACATCCAACAGCCTCAAGATTAAAAACCTTTGTCCCCTTTCAACCCTATCAAACCCTCACGCATCCTGCTAAAGTCCAAGCCCCTCACACACAAAACCCCCTTTTTCCCCCCCCTCCAAACCCTTTTCCAGGCCGACCCCTACCCCGCCTTCCCTTCCCTACAGCTATACACCTTGAAGCATTCTGTTTGCTCCTTTCTCTCTACTGTCCGAACCCCCTAAAACCCTTCCTCACCCTCGGGACAACAGTTTTTGTAATCCCACCTCCTCCAATTCCAAAAAAAATTTCGCATTAAATTCACCCCACAATGCCCCCCAGACAGACATCTCCACTGCTCCAGCCTTCCCCCTCGCTGCAACATTTATCACCCAGCTTTACACCATATAAGAGCATTGGTAAAACTATACTTCATACATTCCCCCTTTCCTCCAAGGCAAAGCTTTGTTCTCCACAACCCTTTAAGTGCACACTCACTCTTTTTCCTCATCAATTCTATGATTCACCTCATCTTTCTTTCCCATCCGCTGACACTCCCCCTCCCAAAAAAAGAATAGTTTACCTCCTCCATACTCTCTCCCTCCAATTGAATTCAATCTTTTATCACCTAATCTTTTTTTTATCCCCATAACCTTACTCTTTCCTGTATTTACCTTTAAATTTTTTTCTTTTGCACACCCTACCAATTCATCCACCCAAACTCTGCAATTCTCTTTTAAATTCCCAAGAGCCAGTGTCATCACAAAGAGCGCGTGACAACTCCCCCCTTTGTGGTTTAAATTTTTTATCTTTTAACTCCACGCCTCTTGCCAAGACCCCGCTTACTTCTCTTCAACCCC